CCCTCACACATTCACCTGTCAGAGTCCAGCCTTAGAAGACCCAGAAAGAAGCTGCTCCAGCACTTACCTTTTTTTTTGTTTCCCATTTTTTTCTTTGGTTCTTAAAAATATTCTTATCGTGTGTGCATGTATGTGCATGCATATGGAAGTCTGACAGCTTGCAGGAATAGGCTCTCTCCTTCCACCATGTGGGTCCCTGGAATCAAACTTAGGTCAGCAGGTTTGGCAGCAAGTGCTTTAACCTGCTGAGGCATTTCGCTGGCTCCACTCTTTTCTTCTCCTCCTCTTCGTCCTCCTCCTCCTCTATTATATTTTGGTAGTATTTTGATTTTATCTTTAAAAAATACAATAGATTTTATTTTTCCTGGTGGTTTTTCACACAGTAATACACCATCAAATAATCCAAAGAAGAACACATGATTAATAGATTTTATAAAAGTATTTGAGTACTCACTGATGATTTAAACGCAAAGCTCCTACGGCTAAAAATTGAAATCAACTTCATTAGCAGGACGCACTATATTTACCAAAAATTGAAAAAAAAAATTCCTTGCTTTTTTTCTTTCTTTTTTTTGGGGGGGGTCTTTTTGAGATAGGGTGTCCCTGTAGCCCCAACTGGCCTGGAACTCGCTATGTAGACCAGGCTGGTCTTGAACTCACAGAGATCCACCTGCCTGTGCCTCCTGAGTGCTGGGGTCAAAGGCGTGGGCCACCACTCCTGGCCTCCTTGTTTTTTTCTGTCCTGGGGGCTGAGCACAGGGCCTCATGCTTGGTAGGCAAGTGATCGCCCACTAAATCGTATCTCCACCCCTTAATTTTATTTATTTGTTTGTTTGTTTGTTTGTTTATTCATTTTTTAGACAGGGTCTCATTAAGTTGCATGGGCTTGTCTTGAAATTGCAATCCTACTGCCTCAGTCTTCCAAGTGGCGGGGATTACAAGCCCATTCCACAGGACTGGCAAAACTAGTTTTTCTTTTGTTTTGTTTTGTTTTGCTTGTTAATCTCTCCCAGTAAACAGAATAAAAAGTGTCCTTTTTAAAGCTAATTTTTTAAGATAGCATGCCAAGTGATGGGATTCACTGTGGCCTTTCCATGCACACGCATCGTTGTACTTTGATCTCATCCCCCTCTTCCTCTGCCCTCTCCCATCTCTCCTGTCTCACTCTTGATGGTTTCTTTCTTCCTCCCAAAGTCTTCCTTTCTGCTTTCATGCAGAAATTCTATTATCCTCTCTTTGTCTCACTTCCTGTTCCCTTAAGATCTTTTGTTTTGAATTCATGGTTCCCTTTCTGTTTTCCTTACCACCTTTAAATCTAGCATCTGCATGAGAGAGGGAAAATATGGTATTTGTCTGAGGCTGACCTATTTTGATGATACGAAGTTCCATCCAGTTTCCTGAAAATATGCCCTCCCCTCCATTCTTTCTTTCTTTTAAGACAGATATACTATGTAGACCAGGCTAGCCTCAGACTCACAGAGATATGCCCACTTCTACCTCCCAAGTGCTAGAATATATAAACACTCAAAATATAAACATCATGAAAACAAACAACCCAATTAGAAACTGGAACAAGGAACTAAACAGAGAATTCTCAAAAGATGAAATGCTATCAGGGAAATGCAGATTAAAACTACTTTGAGATTTCATCTCATCCCAGTCAGAATAGCTAAGATCCAAAAAAAAAGATGACAAATACTAGCAAAGATGTGGGGAAAGGGGAACCCTCATTCATTGCTGGTGGGACTGCAAACTGGTGCAGCCACTATGGAAATCCGTGTGGAGATTCCTAAAAAATATCTAAAAATGGATTGACCACAGATCTAGCCATACCACTCTCAGTCATATATGTAAAGGCTCTCTATCATCCATGTTCATTGCTGCTCTATTCACAATAGCCAGGAAACGGAAGCAACCTAGGTGTCCATCAATTGATGAAGGATGATGAAATTATGACACACTTACACAACGTGATATTCTGCTGTTAAGAAAAAGGAAATCATGAAATTCACAGGTAAATGGATGGAACTGGAAGCAAGCATGCTGAGTGAGGTAACCTAGACCTGAAAAGACAAACCTCATATGTTTTCTCTTCCATAAGTGGATGCTAGTTTTGTATCTTTAGGTATGTGTTATGTGTGTTTCAATTAGAAATTCCATAGAGGTCAGGAAGATAGTAAGGCACCATAAGGGAAGGGCTTCCTGGGAGAGGCGATAGATAATGCAGGGAAATAAAGGGGGTAAAGGTAATAATGGAACAGGAAGGGTTAAATGGGATGGGGAAATGGGAGGGCAGGGTAAGCCTTTTTGAAAAAGTCAAGAGGTAGTTACACATATGAATCCAGAATGCCTGTGACAGCATGCACAAGGCCTGGACAAGCCCAAGGCAGACAAAAATCCCAGCACAGAGAGGGAGGTGGGCAGAAAGCCCCAGCCCTAGCTGAGGAACTATTGGCAATTGACAGCTGCTGGGAGAGGGAGAGTCAGTTTTCTTTAAGGGTGTGATGCTGGGTGAAGTGTTACTCTGCTATGCCACATTACAGCTGTCTGAATAAAGAGAGACTGACTCCCATCGTCCATCTTAGCCAAAAGCAGATTCAAACTGTTGAGAATCTGTTCCTTCATAATACTCTCAGGACTGTGTTCTAGAACAAAGGCTCACTCTTTCTTTATTGAAATAGTAAGTAGATCCAACCTAAGAGTGCCCCTCTGTGCTATCTGAAGTTGGGGGTGTAGGAGTGGGGCTTCCCAAGTCGGCTGGAGCCCAGATGATAGCACCACTAATTCTGGGTGCTGATATGGAGCTACAAGCTTTGGTGTTTTCCCCACTGGCTTTTGTTCTTGCTTTGGCCCAATTTTTCCTTACTCTGTTCTCATTCCTCCCCTTGGAGTAGGAATATTTACTTTGTACCACCACATTTAGTTGTTTGTAATTTGCTTTCTGATTTTATAGATGTTCATAGCTAAGAGATGGCCTTGAGTTGCAGTAGAGACTTTGAACTACGGACTTTTGAACACTGTTGGAACTGTTAAAATTATGAGTACTCTTGAAGTTTGACTGAATGTATTTTGCATTAAAAAATGGCCATTGGGGCCAGAGGCAGGATTTTATGGTTTGAATCTGAAGTGTTTCCAGTCTCACATGTTTGAGCATTGATAAGTGGTCCTGCTAACCTGAGATGTTGTGCCCTCTGTGGGGAGGGAGACATGGCTTTCAAAGTGGGTCAAAGTGGGTCATGGCTTCAAAGGGAAGACCTTTGAAGGTGGTAGTCTTACCCAAATCTAAGCCTGAGCTCTGCTGAGATGTGGCACCTCAGACACACATTTCAGCCACCATGAACTCCACCATGCTTTCTCTACCATTGTGGACCAGACCCTCTCAAACCATAAACCAAAATAAAGTCTTCCCGACTTAGGTTACTTCTGTCAGGTATTCTGTCACAGTGTCAAGAAAAATAGCTTCAGAAACTTCTGGAACCATTTCTTTACATTTAGGTTGTGAGCCTGAGTCTTTAAATGACTAAGCCATCCTTCCAACCCTTGAACCATTTTTTTATATCTACTAATCAGACCTAAGAGGACTAATGGACAGAGTCTTCTTTCATACACATCTATTCTATGGCTGTGACCCTTGAACTCACAGCAGATATCTTACAACTCAGTCCTGCCATCCTGCAGCAAACCAGCACAAAGATGCACTCCTAGCACCTCCAGACTTCTGATTTTGCAACACTGAGCATTGCTTGACAAGTTTAGCCAACTTGGACTGGGTTTTGTATTACATCTGGGGCTAAACTAAGATGTCATTTCTTCAGCATGTGTGGGTGTGAGAGGTAACAAAGTAGAGACCATGCTGCTGTGACAAAGAGCTCCTATGTCACCCAGAGGAAACTAGGACATAGGCTTATCAATGACACCAACTGCAGGGATGTCACCGTAGAAGTGTAGCCCTGATATTTGTACTTCTTATCATCCATTCACTCATGTTGGTGTTCTAGATAGAACCCAGGGCCTTGCAAGTGCTAGGCAAGCATTCTATCCCTGAGCTCCATTCCTATCCCTTTGTTTTTTGAGACAGAGTCTTGCTTGAATTTGCAATCCTCCTGCCTAGTCTCTGAGTGCTAGGATTATAGGCATGGGTCGCCACACCTTGTCTGGCTCTGCCATCTTTAATCCAGGGCTTTCAAATTTTATTTTATTATTATTGTTATTATTTGCTCTGGAGCTTCCTGATAACTTGGGGGAGAGAAGTCTCATTAGGAGGAGGCAGAGGCAACTCTCTTTCTCTTGAAGGCCCCAAGGAAGGCTCAAAGCTAAGAGGAGAATGGAAGGCCAGGCATGGTGGCTCACACCCTTAATCCCAGCACTTGGGAGGCAGAGGCACGTGGGTCTCTCTGAGTTTGAGGACAGACTGGTCTGCATAGCAAGTTCCAGGCCAGCTGGGGCTACAGGGGGACCCTGTCTCAAAAAGACAAAAAAAAAAAAAAATAGAGGAGACTAGAGACAGGTTTTAACCGGCAGCCAGGTGCCTGAGCACTGCTCCATCACAGTCAGTGAGGAGAAATGGGGTGAAGGCCTTAGAACCACTGGTCTTCAGTGTGGTCCGTTCTCCTTAGCATCACCCTCCTGGACTATTGTTTCTCATTCTGTAGAGACACAAACAGGTCAAAAGGGGTTCAAACAGGAGATCAGGAACCACCAGGTAGGTGAGGGATCTTCAGGTGCCTAGGTGGAGAGAAGACACCGAGCGAGTACACATCTTCCACACATGAGAGATGACCTGGAGAGGAGATGAAACTGATTATTTTGGAAGCAGCAGAGACCTTTTGTGTAATTTTTTTCCTTTAAAAGCATTTATTTAAAAAATATAAAATTAAATCAACTAGAAATATGACAACCAATTTGGGACATTAACCTATTTTTCCTATTTTAGACTTACATAAATTTAAAAATAATCTAAAGGATACATTTACTATACAGTACCTATTAATGTTACAGTATAAACCTAAACATTCTCTTCAATCAAGTGTGTAACTTCTAATCTCTAATAATCTGTTACCTATTTTAATAAATTGACAAGACTTTTGCCTGTAATGGTTTTTATTTATTCTTCCTTAACAACTCTGAGGTTTCCTAAAGTTGGGCATAAACGCTCCATTGCGAATATAAGTATTCTTTCTCTAACTGATAGATTTGTACTTGATCCACTTGTTTGTACCGCGAACTTCAAAAGGTGGCTGAGTGGTGAAGAGGTGATTGGCCAAATCCTCCAAAGGTGGCTCTGGATCAGTTGTAGCAAACTGGGCCGCTTCCTCGATTTCTCTTTTCACATCTGTATCAATTTCCTTCAGTTCTTCCACATTGCTGAGGTTGTTGCTGATCATTTGCTCTCGAAGAAGCACAACAGGATCACTTTTACTTCTCATGTCGTGAATTTCTTCTCGCGAACGGTAGCTGATGCCTGGGTCGCTCATACTGTGTCCGTGAAAACGGTAGGTCTGCAGCTCCATCACGATGGGCCCCTTTCCGGATCGGCAGTAGTCGGCAGCGAACCTCACTGCCTCGCGAACACAGAGCACATCCATCCCGTTCACGCGCAGCCCGGGGATGAAGTTGCCTCTCTTGTGGTACTCGGTGCTGGCCGCCGACCTTTCATTCGCCGTCCCCATGCCGTAGCGGTTATTCTCGCAGATGAAGACGCAAGGCAGTTTCCACAGCGCTGACAAGTTGTAAGCCTCGGCCACCTGGCCCTGGTTGGCCGCGCCATCGCCATACAGGGCCAGGCAGATCTCGCCGGTTCCCAGGTACTTACAGGCCATAGCAACCCCGGCTCCCAGGGGAACCTGGGCCCCGACAATGCCGTTGCCCCCATAGAAGTTCTTGGCGTACATGTGCATGGAGCCGCCCTTGCCTTTGGCACAGCCTCCCAGGCGTCCGGTCAGCTCCGCCAGGATGGACTTGACCGACAGGCCGCGCGTGTAGCACAGGCCGTGAGCGCGGTAGGACGTGATGACGTGATCCGAGGGGTTGATGGCGGCCTCCAGCCCCACGCAGCAGGCCTCCTGCCCGTCGCACAGGTGGCAGAAGCCACGGATGAACTTCTGCTTGTACAGCTGGTCGGCCTTCAGCTCCATCCGGCGAACCACCTGCATGGCGCGGTAGTACTTGAGGGCGTCCTCCCGGGTGAGCACCGTGGAGGTGGCCGGGCCGTCGTCCAGCCGGTACAGGTCACATCTCTTAATGTCGCAGGTGGCGTGGTTTGAGAAGTTCTGGGAGGCCAGCAGCCCTCGGCAGGCTGGAGTCTGGACAACTCCGAACAACACGCGGGACACCACAGCTGCCAGCATCTTCCTCATGGAGAACAGCCCGTCAACGGTCAGGGCGCCAAACGACCAGAGGCTTCGAAATGGCGCAGCTCCTCTGAAGCAATAATCACGGGACGCGCTCACCACGCTGCAGGCCACGCCTACGCGACCTGGGCACGTGGCTTCTTGAAGTCCCTCCCTCCTGGAAACGAAGATCTCGACACCTTTCCCTGTTGACAGACAGCGCAGAGATCCTAAAGCCGCCTTTGCACAGTAACTTGAAGCCCTTTCCCTGCTCAACTCCACAGGAATTTGGAGGCAAGAATGTTCCTCAGTGGCTAGAGGGCCAGCCAGAGGTCCCAGGTTCAACCCCCAGCATACCCTCAAATGTGGCACGTGGGGCAGTACTTGGTCAGCCATGTAATCCCAGCAGCTGCATTGGAAACCTGGAGGATCAGGACTTAAGTAACATCTTCCTCAGCCAGCTGGAGGCCCACCTGGCCTTCCAAACCCTAACATTATAATAGGTTTCTTCATTTCACTCCATTTAAAATTCATGTGCTGGAATTCATGGTCTGGCTGTGTTGTTTGCTCTGTCTTTGATAGCCTGAACCTGCTGTTTTCTTTCACTCCTGCAGGTATTGGTGATCTCCTGGGGACATTATCTGAAACGCTTTCTTCTGTGTGTCCTCTTTCTGTGGAAAGGAATAGAGGTAAAATGGAGACAAACTAACTTCTTCTTAATCCCATTCACAGGGAGGGACTGTGTTGTGAGCAATCCCGGCATCTCTGGCATGGTGGGTCCAGGGGAATTACAGTTCGTAGTGGCAGGGAGGCATGATGGCTGGAGGTGGCTGGAGCAGAGGCGGAAGCTAGGCTCTCCATCTTCCAACACACAGGAAACGAGCAGCTTTTGTGTAATTCACAGACATTATGGCTCAACATCAGAAAAAAACAACAGCGGTGCAGAAGCTGAGTCCACTCAAGAATGACACAAAGCGGGAGTGATCAGACCTGGCATCACACAGGTATTACAAGATTCAGTTTGGAGAAGATGAAAGTATTTTTCTCTTATGAATAACAGAGTCAGTTCCGCTGTGACCTGATGGGATCTAAGATTTGTCCATGCTTACTGTGCATAGGTCTGGAATGGAAAGGAGAGACCACATTGCTGATCTGCAGGCCATTTATAGTCTGAGAATTTCACTTTCAGGATTAACTCTTGTGATGTGAAGGTTGCCCCTGACCCTGTAGAGCACACAGGACTTAGCCTTCCCCTTTCCACTGTCTTCTGGAGCCAGACTAACTCTGAATACAAGTCAAGACTCACTATTTTAGAAAGAGCTTTGACCAACAGTCATGACCTTATCTTTGGAGAAAAAAAAAAAAAAAAGATTCTCTCTTGTCCTGTGGAGAGAATCTCATCTTTTAAAATATATTTTTTTCCTAGCCTTAAGTCAATGAAGTAACTTATCTAATGAAATCCCAAAATACACTGTGGTCCCAGCCAAGCACAAATGTTGCCGTTTATTTTCAGGATCCACCAGCAAACATGGATTTAGAAGAGTAGGAATTAAACCTTGTTGACAGCAGATGTTTTGCCAGTAAGGCAGATGGACCATAGATTCTGTCCAGCAGCACCCATCAGACCCAACCAGAAACACAGCAGTGTGCTGGCAACCTGATTCCCTGAAGCCACGCACTGGCTTGCTTTCCTGTTCCAGTTTATAGATGGCACACAGTGCTGTTCTAAATACGTAGGGCTAAAGATGCTGAAACGTGCTGTTTTCAAAGGAGCAAGTTGTCCGTGTTCCAGTTTATAGATGGCACACAGTGCTGTTCTAAATACGTAGGGCTAAACGTGCTGTTTTCAAAGGAGCAAGTTGTCCATTCACTCAACCATAAAGCTGGTGAGAGTGGTCCAGTGGAAAGGAGAAAGATGTTGCCTGGCTACCATGAGGTGGACCCAAGAGCCGTCAGCATGGCCAGCTGCCACGGGGCTCAGAAGGCTTCTTGCTGAAGAGCTCATCTCAGAAACCCAGCAGGGGAAAGGGTGCACCGGGAGCTGGCTGCAGGCACTTGGTGTCCAGAAACAGTTGTCAGAATGCCCATTTCTGATGAGGCTCTTGTCTCCTGGAGAAATCATTAATACTTTCAACTCATTTTTTATGTAATATCATTTCAACTGATGCCAATGTTGAATGCTATAACTAAGTTATTTTTCCATTCAGTTTTTTACTTTGAATCACGTGCAAGTGACTCGGTTTTCCTTAATGGCAACATTTCTTGAAGTTATAGGACAGTATCTCCAACAGGACACTGTAGTGATACTCCCTTCCCTCCTCCCCACTGACACGTCTTTCTGGCCTGGGGTAGTGTGGGGTCTCCTCTCTACTTCTGTGGTTTTGTCATTTCAAGGATGTTCCATGAACAGAATCAGGTTGAGTGTTCCCTATCTGACGTAATTGAGGACAGATGTGCCCTGGATTTCTTATTTCTTTAGATCTCAGACCTTGGGGATGGACGTACAACTAAACACAAAATTCATCTGTGTTTTATATCTGCCTTATTCATGTAGGCAGAGGGCAATTTTATATAATATTTGTAATCATTTTGCGCAAAGTTTCTGGTGTGACATTTTCCACTGGTTGCTGGTTTCAGTTCTTAGAATGTAACAGGAACTGGATCTTCAGCCTTACTTTAGTATGTAACCCTTTCACACCACTGTGTGCACTCAGAACAGTTCTCTAGAGATCCACTCAGCATCAGTAGCCATTCCTCCATGGCAGGAAAGAACCCCAATCTACTTAACATCCCCAGTCAGGAGGAAACACCTGCAAGTGTTCAGAGTACAACTGTGTATGCATGTGCACAGGGCTTTGTCTGACTTTCTTTTGTAGACCAGGCTAACTTCCTCCTGCTGCAACCTTCTGGGTGCTGGGAGTCCTGGTGTGTTACCCAACACTTGGCTATGCATGTTTTTGAGCAAATACAACTTTTTATTTCTTTGGGGGAAAAATGGCCAAGAATATGATTCAGGGTCATGATTTTTCATGCCTCACTTTATAATAAACTGCCTAACTTTTTTTCCACAGTGATTGCACCGCCTATGCCCCCCTGCAGCAATGTCCAAGTGACAAGCTCTCTGGGTGCTTGCCACTATTTGGTGGGGTCACCATAATTAGTCAAAATGCAAGATGCTACATCACTGTGGTCTTGAGTTTCCATAGCAACTAGGACTATTCATACTTTTTCATGTGTTTGCCATTAGTCTATGTTTTGAGTTTCCAATAGGCTCTTTTCTGTCTTTTTACAGTTGAGTCCTAAGAGTCCTTTATAGATCATTGATATTAGTCCTTTGAAGACTGTGTGCCTTGAAAATATTTTCTTCCAGAGATAAGATTTTCGTTTCATTTTGTGAAAAGACCATTTCAGAGCAAAAAGCTTAATTTTAGTAAGGCCTAATTTATCAGTTTCTTTTGTGTATTGATTTTCCTCTTTGGTCCTTGACCCTGATTTTATTTCTTTTAAATTGTATTTATTTATTAGCTAGGTGTGGTGGTGCATGCTGTTAATACCAGCATTTGTGAGGAAGAGGCAGGCAGATCTCTGTGAGTTCAAGGTCAGCCTGGTCTACACAGTGAGCTCAGGCCAGCTGGGGCTACAAAGAGACTTTGTCTCAAAAAGACCAAAAAAAAAAAAAGAAAGAAAGAAAAAAGAAAAAGAAAGAAAAAAAGAAAAGAAAAAAATGTATTTATTATATTATGTGTATATGTATATGTGTCTATGTGGATTTGTGTACAGAGGGCACTGTCTGCAGAGGCCAAATAGGGTGTCAGAACCCTTGGATCTGGAGTTACAGATTGTTGTGAGCCACATGATATGGATGCTAGGAACTGAATTCGGGTGCTCTTAACAGCTGAGCCATCTATCCAGCCCCTTTTTAGTTTCATACTTTGTATTTAAGTCCATGATCTGTTTTTAGTTGTTTTCTTTTTAAAAAAGGCTTTTTAAATTTTTTATTTTATGTGTATGAGTCTTATGTATGCATGTATGTAAGTGCACCCATGTCATGCAATGCCTGCAGAGGTCAGAAGAGGGCATTGGATCCCCTTGGAACTGGAGTTATGGACGGTGGTTAGTCGCCTTGTGGGTGCTGGGATTCAAACCCAAGTCTTCTACAAGAACAGCCAGTGCCCTTAACTCCTGAGCCATCTCTCCAGCCCCCTCAGTTGTTTCCTGTAAGGCGGGAAGTATACATTGAAATTCTTTTCTCAGTACCTTCTGTCATTCATGCAAGAACAACACTGTCAAGAAGTTCTCTGCTCCTCACTAACAGCGTTTGAACTGTCATCAAAAATGTGTTGGTTGGGGGTTGGAGAGATGGCTTAGTGGTGAAAAGCACTGGCTGCTCTTGCAGAGGACCCAGGTTCAGCTCCTAGGACCCATAGAGTGGCTAACCACCATCTGTATTCCAGTTCTAGGGGATCTGATGCCCTCGTCTAGCCTCTGTGGGATGCATGCTTGGGGGCACTTATACATGCAGGTAAACACTCATACACATAAAAATAAAAATATTTTTTAAAAACGGTGTTGGTCATATTTGTGTGTGTTTATTTCTGGGATCTGAGATCTGCCCTGGGATCTAGGCATCTTCCTTTCTGCCAGTGCCACACGGCATTCACAATTGTGGTTATGTGTAAAGTAAAGCCCCTGCCTGTGCTGGCACCAAATTCTTCTCTTCACTCTGAGTCAGCATCTAAGGATCCAGCTTCTTGTGAGAGTCACAGATTGTGTCATCCACAGATTTTGAAATAAGAGGCTCACTGCTGCGGGGCAAAGGGTGTTGATGTGTTTCAAAGATCAGCATAAATTTCTGAACTTTATGATCAAGTTTTCTTGTTCCTGTCTGGCAGCAGGACCAGGATGATGGAAAAAACATGCCACTAATTTGTGCAAGGATGTAAGAAGAGACTGCAAGACAGAAGCCTTGTGGCCACAAACATCTGGAAAAATCATTGAACAGGGCTACTACAAAGAAAGGTTTTCTAAGGTCACTGCTTGGCCAAGGTCAAGGGCTAGTGTATTAGTAATTTTCTAGTTTCATTATACGGAAAAACCTGTCCTAGTATGAGAAGCCAAAGGAGACAGCCAGAATAGGCTCTTTCCCAGGTCCCGAGATTTGCACTTTAATCTACATTTTCCCAAATTAGATAAACTACTTCCCACATTGGTGCTGCAAATGGTGATGCATGAGGTTGTGGCATGCCCATGCACATAGCCTGTGACCCAGAGTACTCTGTCTTCTACCCAAGACAAATCCAGTGGGAAACTGTCTGAGTGTGCCTGGCCTTGCCTAGACTAGAGAAACCCTTCAATCTCCTCTGACTTTTCTTCCCTCATTCCTACTCAAAAATAACAAGTCACCAACTCTACACTGATTTACTAATCAGTTAGGGCATGCCTATTAGTGATTATGTCATCGTGGGAATGTGCATGATACTTTTTCCCTAGGATAGACCCAAACTTCCAAATCACTAGTGAAATGGACTCTGTTTTCCTAATGTGTCAGGGACACAGTTGAGGTTTGTTTTAGGGGATTCTCATGTGATTTCATGCCTTGTGTCCTGACCTCACAGACCACCAGATCCCTGTGTTCAGTTACTTAGGAAGCACCCTGCCCCTTGACAACCATGTGGCACTCAGGGAAGAGACAACTGCATTCATACTTAGAACTGCTGTTTTAATGGATATTATCTGATTTTATCCAAGGTAAAATATCTCTGATGATCAGCTTTTCATACCAACAAATACTAACGAATGCACAAATATGGTTCTCTTTTTAAAAAAATGTAATTGTGTGTGTGTGTATCTGTGTACATATTTGTGTGGCACACGTGTGCACACGTGCACCACCATGTGCTGGCAGAGGTCAAAGGATAACTTTTGGGCATCTACTCTCTCCTTCTACCATGTGGGTCTCAAGGATTGAACTCAGGTTGCCAGGCTTTATGGCAGGTGCCTTTACCAATGAGCCATCTCACGGGTCCCCAAATGTCATTTTTATTGAAAGTCTACAGAGTAAAAGAAAAAAGTGGAAAAAACATTCGTGTCTTTTGTTTCTTTTGTCAAATTAGTGGAATCCCGCATTACAATGGAATTAATGGGAATCTGCAACATTTGTCTTTAGATACCCACAGTTGAACAAATATATTTGTGATAGGTTTTGTTTCCCCCCCCAGAAAATAAAAATGTTGATATGCTAATGCCAGTGCCCACAAATAGGATGTTGACAAAACTGAGATGTGCCCATTACAGTGAGCTCCGATACAATACAACTGTGCCTTTATACAGAGAGAAAACTTGGGCAGGAAAACCACACATGAGCAGAATGTCATAGAATAATCAGAATCGTACTGTCCCCAGCTCAAAAGCTCTAAGAAGCTGGGAAAGAGGCCTCTCTCCCCAGGGCCACTGAGGGGAGTGTGAGCCTGCCCATACCCTACTCTTGGACCTCAGTCCTCCAGGCTGTGAGACTTTGTATTTCTGTTTGCGGTATTTGTTACTGCATATCTAGCAAACTAATACAGCATTTTATCTATTGTTTGGGGGCAATAATTGTTGGAGTTTGTTCAAGCTGAAACAGAAATTGCTTCAAAAAGCAGTCAGTTGATAGGACATTTTAACCTCTGAAAACTCAACTTTTCTGACCCCCCCACTAGAGAAAATTTGGCTCTAATAAATAAGTTACATGTTCACAGCAACACAGAAGTCCAGGTTTATATCCAGTGTTGCAAAACTATTCTAGAAAGAGGAATGGGTGATTATATTTCAACTTTAGTGGAGCTTGTGTGCCAGGAGGGAATAAATCAGCTATACACCAGCAATTCTCCTTGTGAAGCGTCTCTGCAGACTCAGCACATAATCCATGGAAGCAGAGAAATCTTATCTCAGAAGGCGGTCTGTTCCAGCATTTATGTCTGGGTTTTAAGTTACTTCTACTTCTGATATATCCAATATTTGTAAGTCACATCTAAGCATTTGTATGAAGTTTAGTGAGCTTTCTTTGTGATGTCTATCCAAGAAAACATTCCAAGATATACTTAAAAATATAAAAAAGCTTAAGAAAAACCCCAAGAGCTATTCCAACGATTCCTCACATCTGTGACTCTCTATCACTGTGCCATCTCTGAGCCTGAGTAACACAAGAACTTCTTTTCAAAAGCTTTTCATTGGGAAATGATTCCAAGTTTAGGAAAATGCACAGGAATCACTCGAAAACACAAACCCCTTCCTCAGCGTCACCTACCAGGCCTTTGCCATATGGTTTATTATTTGCCTCTTTGAATCCATGGACATTGTTCATCTCTCTTTTTTTTTCTTGATCATCAATTTACTAACCACTTACTGAGTTGTGGGATCAACAGAAGACTTAGCAGAAAGTACATGAATCATAAAGAACTCAGGCAGCAAGCGCAGAGCCAGGACAAGAATTGGGATGTGTTAGACACAACCTGGAAACGGTGGATTGTAGTCTTCACCTGTCTCTCAGTTTAAGTCCATGACTGCATCATCAATGGCCCCCAGCCATCTCATGGGAGGAACCCCATCTTAATCTAGATCTAAATGAGTATAAAAGTTGCTCAGATTTTTATTCATTGTTCTGAGATTCTTATTTTCTGAGGTTGGGCATCCGAGGTCTTCCTGATGGACACGGCTCACTTTCAAGTCAATGATGCTCATCTTCGGTGCCTAGAGTTGTGACAGGCACAAAATTACTTGATGAATGAATTTATTATTTTTATTTTAAGTGTATGAGTGTATTGCCTGCATGTGTGTAAGTGCATCCATGTCATGCAGTGCCCACTGAGGTCAGAAGAAGGCGTCAGATCCCCATGGAACTGGAGGTACGGACGGTTGTTAGCTACCATGTGGGTGGTGGGAATTGAACCTGGGTTCTCTGCAAGAGCAGGCAATGCTCTTAACTGCTAAGCTATTGCTCCAGCCCTTGATGAATGAATCTTTAAACTCAGTTTTAGTTGTCTGGATTAACCCTATAGAGAGTAATTAGAGCATGCCCACATTAACTTATTTGCCTCTCAATGGTCCTGTGGGGAGTGCCACAAAGAGGACATATGACATGAGGTTGGATTATGTGCCCATGGACACCAGCCTGTGGTTACAAATGAATCATCAGCAGTAGCTCAGTTGTCAGACCTAGAGACCTGCATGCTTGTCAGAAGGAGTGGGGTCTCATGTGGTGACTGGGGTGGATTTGCTTCAACCGCTACTGCTCTCCAGGATTCCAGCTCATTGTGTTCAATGACCTTGTGCCACGCCCTACTAAACACCTTGAGTCCCCGAAGGGCCAGTGAGTTTGTGGAAGTCACCTATAATTATAGAATCGCTAGACTAGGGCTGCTGACCGTGTTGTGGAAAGCCAAATGTTCTAAATCACCTCCACAAACTGGTAAAGTTAACCGAAGAAACTGCAGGAAAATTCATCGGGTTGATTGTTTCTTGTGCTCTGAACCACAATGACAAACCTGGATGAAAACAGAGACTTTGGCCTCAGCACAGGAGCCTTTTCTGCAAACTCATATGGCCTGTGCTCATGCCCCAGATGTGAAATATGAACCCAGATTTTCCACCTAGAAAAAAAACCTCCACTTTCATCCTGGCAGAAGGGAGCTAAATAATTACACTTAAAAAACAAAACAAAACAAAACAAAAACATTCTGGGGACGGGAGGCAGGGCCTTATGCATGCTAGACAAGTGCTTGACCACTGAGTAGCACCTGGCTTGGCCAGGTCATCTGTACCCTGAGATAAAGTACTCCTTTTCAGGCTGACTGATCCTGCCCTAACTGTATTCACAAAAGCAAATCAAGAGGAAATTTCGTGGGGCAAAACTCTCCTGGCACCTCCAAATGACCCTTCCTGACTCAGGCTTGGCTAATTTCTATAAAAAAGGGAACTACTGCATGGTGAGAGACCTGGGCCACAAAGGCTGGAGAAGGGACTTTTTCTCTGAGTCAGATGGAGGTAGCTGAGAGGGGAGAACAAGCCAAGAATCACCGAGTGAACAAGCAAGGGGGGTGAGGGCTGGCACCCACAGCATTCTGCTGCCATGAGTCAGTCCCTTGAGCACAAAGAACAATGTGATTTGCAGGTGGTTATTGATAGCTCCAGGCAGTCAATTCTTCTAGTTTATAGAGATACAAATCTTAATTATTAATGGTTAAGATGAAAAACAACTGCCCCCGAAGTTAGGAAACTCAAACAGCTTGTTTCCTTGGCTCTCATCACACAAAAGGGGTTTGTTCTGCAAAATCCAGTTGGCCTGTTCAGGTACCACTGATGCCCCCATCCTTCCCAGAAGTACCAGTTAGCTCACACTGCAGACCCTGGGTGCTGTAGACAGAAATACACCTGGCCACAGTGGCTTTTGTGTAATACACTTTCGATAAATGTCTCATAAAGTAATTGGAAAACAATTGTGTTTTCCAGTGTGGGAGGAAAACTAAGGTTGATGACTGCTAAGAACTTAATGTACCACATGCAAGAACAGTCTGTTATTGGGGAGAAGATACAGGCATGAGGCTCTGCGTCACTGGTTTCTGAATGTCAGAAATTAGTATGGACTCCTATGCATAGTGAGTGTGGAAGGACTCACAAGAGAACACACAGTGCACATGGAAACCACTCTGTCAGATTATACATTTGTGTTATGAAATAGACATACAGTAAGTGTGCTTCTAGGGGAACAGAAGATGAGGCATATTTCTCAAAATGTTCCTGTGGGGAGTTTATACATTATAATGGCATATTTGAGATAACTATTCATCTCTGTATATATGCATATATATATGAATTACTAGTAAATTCTCAAAACAAATGGAAAATTTGTTGTAAATGTTATTATGTCTGATGATATTGATAAAGGAAAAGCGTAAACATTAAAAAGGATATGAAAGAGATATTTTAGTAAAGAAAGATTTATGTATACAAATTAAAATGGCTGGATATTTCCAGAATACAAGGGATAATGAAAACATTTAAGCCAGTTTAGTAAAGGCCTAAAGAAATTATGAAGGTACAAAAGTATTAGTATTATAATTACTGTTGTAGCCCAAAACTTTCAATCTTCTTCTCTGATTTGTTCATATATCTAGTTTTAGTCACAGGTTTAATCGATGCAGACAAATATTGAGATTGCCTGTGACTAGTGACAATGTGCTTTATGTTTCTCTGTATTATATAGGCATTACTTTTGTACTTTCTTTCGCCCATAACAAGATAATTTGGCTCAAGAGGAGCTAGGTATTACCTCCCTGTACCCAGAGGTATAGACAAGAAAAAAGTTTCAGTGAGCTTAGTATGAATCCTGATGCGCTTACTTCATGCCAATAGGTATGTGAATATTTCTGCTTGTAATGAAACAGCCTTCATTTAAAACAAACCTAAAAAATTATTTTCAAATCCCCCCAAAAATGTTCCTGTGGTACTTGGGGATGTAGCACTGGGCTAGAGTCCTTGCCTAGCATGCTTGGGGTCCTTGGTTTGATCCCCAGTGCCATTTAAAAATGCCTTTGTTGGATTTTTGAATTAGCAATTTTCAGTTTTCTTTAATCTTGGGGGGGGCTCTGATATAACACTAATGGTCTGTATTCTTGGAAATATCTTATTTAAAATGAATTCCTTGGGACTGGAGAGATGGCTGTTCTTTCAGTTCTTAGCACCCACATGGCAGCGCACAGCTCCAGTTCCAGGACATGTGACAGCCACTTCTGGCTTTCAGCAGCTTTACACACATGTGGTATATTCGTGTTCTTGTGGGCAGAACACTCATATACATACAATGAAAATAAATACATTAAAAAATTAAAATCAATTCCCTTTTTCAAGAGTCCTTTCAAAATTAGGAAGAGATGTTGAATTTTATCAAATATGGCTCTGGAGAATCCAAATGAGTCTTTCCTTCATTTTTTAGTGAAGGGCATTAATACATTTTTACACCAAAACATTTCTAGTCTTGATTTAAAACTCATGATCAAGGATATTATTCTTTTAATCTACTACAGGATTCTACTTACTTATGTTTTATGTAAGTTTTTGCATCAAAGTCACTAAGGCTATTTTTTTTTTTAAAGCTTGGGATATGTTTGCATCGTTTTTAACCAATATATTTCTTATCTCACAACAAGACACTTACAAGTTTTTCTTTTGCATGATGTGGCGTGGTTTGCAGAGCACTGTGGACTTAGGCTCTGGGTCACAGCCTGGTGAATTTTCCTCCGGCAGCTGCCGGGGAAGTGCCTTCAGAACTCTGCTGCCCCTCCTCTGCTAGTTCACCGCACCAGACTGTTGGAACCAGGTTTCTTTCTGAAGTCATTCCTTTAATTTCTCAGATGTTTCCCACCTCTCACTTTATTTCGCGTGTTTATTGTACTCATCGTTTCCAGGGTATTTAGCTGCAGAACAGCTAATCATTGATATTTGCTGTTGGATCATTGCATTTACTGTTAAACTGTGCTTCATCTTTATGACTCTCTCCCTCCTGCTTTGCTCAGTGTGTGTGTGTGTGTGTGTGTGTGTGTGTGTGTTGTGTGTGTGTGTGTGTGTGTGTGTGTGTGAGAGAGAGAGAGAGAGAGAGAGAGAGAGAGAGAGAGTGAGAGAGAGAGGGAATTGGTTTAAATATAGACTCTGCTTTCTTTCATTTGATTTTCCTCTAAGCACTAACTTAATAGTATACATTGGCCTCTGTTTTAATCTCATTATCCTGAAATAACATAAATCTCATGGTCCAAATATCCTTAGAGTTACCTTTCTTCTAGAAGTTTTACCCACGTTTCTGTTGTTTTTACGAAGGTAATGAGGTGCTGTTTAATTTTTTCCTCAGCATAGTACATTCTTTTCCTTTTGAGTTCTTCAACTGCTCCTTTTATTTCTATTATCTATTAATAGAGTTATCTAAAATTATATTTTCCTATCATGTGTCCTTTTTTTCTGATATGCACATTCAAATACTTTTTAATAATTAAAACAATAACAAAGACTGATTTGTCTAGTTTTATATCACTTAGAAGTGGCCTGACTTTGGGGGCTAAGGATGGTGTCTAAGTATCAGTAGGATTATCTGATTCTTTAAGTCCAGTAACTAACTATATTAGGTTTTTCTCTAGTTGATTTAAACCTATTTCTTTCCTAGGATAAAGGTTCTTTTTAGCTATAAAGATGGCCCTGACTTGCATTGGTTGGAGGTACAATTGTTCAGCGTTAAGATGGTGGAGCAGGGATATGCATTCCGTAGAAGCTATGCTGTGAGTTGTAGATTCTAACTAGCTCCAGGGGAACTGGGTCCTGTGTAGTGCTGTGTTGCTGGCTCTGCTGTCAGCAGTCCAGCTGGATCAAATGCCTTTCAGGGCCTCATGTTTCCAAATTACAGCGAGTTTGTCACCATGTGGCCCTGATGTCAGCGCAGAAGCATCTGTCTAGGTCTAAATCTTTATTTCAAGAAAGAATTTTCAATTATCTTTAAACTTTTCTATTTAACTTTCCTTTGCATTGGGGAGGGGGCACCTGAATTATACATAACTTCTCTCTGACTTATGTACAGTCTTCTTTTTCAGACTTCTGTGTCCATTATTATTCCTAAAGTCAATTTAAATTGTTTTTAAAACATATTTTTGATGCCTTTTCTCAAATCTTCACCTGTATCATTTTTTTTCCTTGTAAATCTACTATTCTTCTCTGTGTGTAGCATTATATGTTCATCATATCCATGAATATGTACCTTTCTTTCTTTCTCTTTCTTTCTTTCTTTCTTTCTTTCTTTCTCTCTCTCTCTTCTTTCTTTCTCTTTCTTTCTTTCTTTCTCTCTCTCTTCTTTCTCTCTCTTTCTTTCTTTTTTTCTTTCTTTCTTTCTTTCTTTCTTTCTTTCTTTCTTTCTTTCTTTCTTTCTTTCTTTCCTTTCTTTCTTTCTTTCTTTCTTTCTTTCTTTCTTTCTTTCTTTCTTTCCCCAGTCCTGTCCATTTATCCTATTTTATTTTGTCTGCATGCTCTTTTTTCATGGCTTTCTAGGCCACGTTCAAAGAAGGACTTTTTTCTCATCGAGTTGTTTTTCATGAGGGAGCACCTCGCATTCAAGTTTCCCCCTTCCTGGTGATTACTTTCAGAGGTATGCTCTGCCACTCTCCTTCGGTGGACACCCCCAGGTGGGCTAACCCGAAGCCCTGTGTGCTCCTGCCCGGCAGCACACTTTCTCTCTGGTCTAAGCCTCAGTGAGCTCAGCAGGCTTTCTTAGCATGGATGGTCACACTCTGGGCATCAGACATCCCTTAGTTTCTGGTAGGCTGCCCTTTCCATTTCTGCTTCTCAGTCTCTTTGCTGATTACAGTCGTAATGAGAAATGAGGGGTAGGTGGATATTTATGCCACCATTTGAAGCTTGAAGCCACGTCACATAGTTTAAATTATTAAGCAGTTCCACTCTCTGTTCAGAGCACATTGTTCCACTAATATTAATCTTAGAGGATATTTAAATTTTTAATTCATTTTTATTTTATGTGTATGAGTGTTTTCCTTGAATTTCTTTAAGAGACCAGAAGAGGGCGTCAGATTCCCTGGGACTGGAGTTACTGACATTTATGTAGGTGCTGGGAACTCAGCCCAGGTCCTCTAGAAGAGCCATCTCTCCATCCCCATTAAAGGATATTTATGCAAGTTTATCTCATGACTTGGAACAGCAACTAACTTTAGAACATAAAAAACCAACTTTAGATCCAACCAACTTTAGAACATAAGAAATGATAAATTGCATGTTCTTACCCTGATAGCTTGGTACCCTGAATGCCAACTAAATGTCTGCATTCTTCCCTGTCTCCATTCTCCTCCTCAATTGTTCTTCTAGAATAGAAAACTCTAGGCTGTCAGACAAATCATCAATCTTCATCAGAAGTTCATCTAATAGAGTTGAAAATTCATCCAGGTAGTAGTTCTGAAGGGAAGAAAAATAGATTAGTAAATGCATACAGGAATATGATTTTTTTTCTCTTCTCTCATTATCTGAAACATTGAGGGGTGCTGACTGAGTTTGTGCTATGTTGTAAAATATCCTGGACCCAGGGGTCAGAAGACTTGGGCACTGGACCTGTCTCTTCCTGTTTCTCTGAATCAGTTCCTTCACTTATGGTATACATATACTGATACATTCATTAGTGCTAGGGTTAATGATGATTATACAAAGAACCAACTTAAAGGCATTAATAATGGGCTGGGAAGCACATGTCAAGCAGTAAGCCGTTACAAACACACAGTGTAATGACTGCTTATGTCCGGCTTCAGAACCTTACTGAATCCTAGTCATGGAAATAGTCATCATGGAGGACAGCTGAGCATTCAGTGTGCAAACACCTAGCTTGACTTGTTTGCATTAGTGTCTGGGGTGGCCAACCTCAAAGTGCCAAGGGCTCCATTTTTTAGCAGAAGTTTGGATCTGTTAGCAAGTGCTGAAAACAAGTGACTATCTCTATAAAGAATTATGAGAGTTTAGTGTGTGTATGTCCCACATAAGAGCAGGGACTCCACCTTTCCAATCTACAGGGGCGTTGTAGGGATGCACTGAGCAGTGGAGGAGACTATGGTTGCTAACTTGCTGAGTGATTTAGTATTTCAAGGGAAGATTCTGTGGGATCCACTAGGGTTGAGAACTAATTTTGAGCCTTTGCAGTGTTGGCAGAGAAGCACATGGAGCTTTTATACCAGAAAGCAAGCTGTGGTAGAGCCATCAATCTGACTATGTTGCTGAGCTCCCTACTCCAAGGTCCTAGAGCTTACGTGATCTGTAGCCACCTCAGTTTCTTCCACCCCTGGTGTTTCCAGCCGCAGAAAAGTAAGGACCTTTCGCCACAGGTAGACAGCAACATCTTTAAGTGTCACAAGAGATTTTCTGTAAACAGACTTTCTTTTTCGGAAAAAAGTCATGACAGAGGCTCGAAGCTAGGGAAGAAAAAAAAAAGCAGATAAATTCTGTGTTAGCAAACCTAAAAGTGGCTTTGTTAATTTGATAGACTATGAAATGGATATTATATGTGATGATGCTGTCTCGTGAATTTTCAGTAATTGGTAAAACCAAATTAGGACAAGGTCACTGAGGTGTAGTCTCAGTGTAAAAGCCTGTTCTCACCAGCTCACGGTGGTGTGCTGTGATCACATCTCATCTCAGCTGCAGTGTCAGCCTGTGTCTGGGAAACTGGAAGAAGTTAGATACCCAGTAGGCCGCTGTGTCCTCATGTGTGTCATTAAAATGAGCCAACAATGTCCCCTAGGTATGGGTTCCTAGGTTATTTCTTCATTGTTGGCTGAGACCTGTTAGCTCAAAGGTCTGCTGGCAGTATGCATGCTCTCTAATTTTAAAAAGTAGCCCAAACAAGCAAACTTGTAGCCATTTAGATTCTGTTTTGTTTCCTGCGAATCTTACATGGTGTTACCCACCTACAGATGCTTAGGAGCTGTGGTGATGGCCACAGGTGCTGTGTCTTAGGAACTTGCTGACCCAGAGCCTTCTCTGGATTGCTGCTGAGTCATATCTCTGGACACATCAGTATCCCTCCCTGAGATTACCCTTTCCTCTCTCCTCTGGATTTCCATTGCTCCAACTCTTCCATAAGCTTCCAAGTGGTCCTATGGTATGAGGAATGTCTACCATGTGGAGACATGTCCAAACATCACCCAAATATTGTGTGCCATTGTTTCTCATGGTCATAATTTTGTTCTTACTCATACCCTGAATCCCTTCAATCCTTGGCAGAACTGTATAGGGACACAGGTAGCTGGCAGAGGGACACAGCTGTCTATAGGTCTGAGGCCTCCTGGATCAGACACCTCCATGTGTGGCTGCTTCCCTGTTTCCCACCCACAAAGCCCAAGTGACTTAGCGTGGCATTCAAGGCTCCAGCCATCCTTCACCACATTATATCTGCTTTGTCCAGAGTCCTGGCACGGTCCTCCCCCAGGGCCCATGCTCTTGCATCATCTGTCCTGTTGCTCTGGCCGCTGCCATGAACTGAACTCACTGAGGCTCAAGTCAAAAATACTCGCTACTATGTGAAGACTTTCTGGTCTATCTTGAAAGAACAAATGAGTCTCTGACTTAAATTTCTCATTCTTCGAGAAAACATGTTAGACTTTAAAGCTGCATATAATTATGCAAGATCTGTGCATAGAAAATTATAAGAAACAAAGTAAAAATAAAAGACCTAAACAAACAGAGAGATATATAGAATTCTAACACTGAAAACTTTAATATTATTATGATTTCAATTCTCCTCAAATTAGACTTAAACATCCACATCAATCTTTATCACATCCTAATATGTATTTTTGGAAATAAGTATCAAGAAGACCTTTCTTTGTTCCCAAATAGTTGTGTTTTTTTAAAAAATATTTATTTATTCAATTTTTTATGTGTGTTTCCCGTGAATGTATGTAAGTGCATCCTTATAGTGCAATGTGTTCAGAGGCCGGAAGAGGGCATTGGATTCCCCTGGAGCTGGACTTATGATGGTTGTTAGACACCATGTGGGTGCTGGGAACTAACTACAGGTCCTCTGCAAGAGTAGCCAGTGCTCCTCACTGCTGAGCTGTCTCCCCAGCTCCCCAAATGGCTGTTTTAATTAGGTCACTTGAACATTAAATTTATCTTCAATTGCAATCCAAAATAGTTACTTGGAGTTTATTGGATTTTGTGTGCATTATTTTTAAACAAGGTGCTTCTAACATCTATATGAAAAGGTAAGGGAGGTAGAAGAGCCAACTCCAGAAGGAACAAAGCTGGAGTGTTCATCCTGCTATGGAACACTTGCTAGACAGCTACAGTAATGGAGACTCTGGAGGACTCACTCTAATGACGTCTTGCTAGTGAGCTATGGCAATCAAGACTTGGGATTATTGAAAGGCAAGCTCAGGGCAGTGGGACTTTGTGTTAGAGTGACACAGACACAGTCACTGCTTTTTGACTAGTATGAAAAACTAATTTGATGGAAAAAAAGACATTCTTTTTAAGATGCTACTGAACAACTATCCATCTATTAAAAACATGAACTCAGGGTGAGGCGATAGCTCAGTTGGTAAAAATGCTTGCTTTGCAAGCATGAGGACCTGAGTTCAATCCCCAGAACCCATTTTTAAAAACCCTGTGCATGGTGGTGCACACTTGTAATCCTAGTGCTTGGATGGCAGAGATAGGCAGATGGATCCCTAGAGATCACTGGCCAGCCAGCCTAGCTTACTGGGCAAGTTCCAGGCCAATGAGAAGTCTTATTGACAAGAAAAAGGTGGACAGTGCCTGAGGAAAGACACTCAAGGATGTCCTCTGACCTCCATATTCATGTACACACATGTACACACACACACACACACACACACACAAACTCTTATCCTTCCTTTATATCTTATGCTAAAATTAACTAAAAATTGATCATTGAGGGGCTGGAGAGATGGCTCAGGTGTCAACAGCACTGGCTGCTCTTGCAGAGGATCCAGGTTTGGTTCTCAGAACCCACATGGTGGCTAACAACCAGCTGTAACTCCAGTTCCAGGGGATCTGATGCCCTCTTCCAGCCTCCATGGGCATTGTATGACAAAGGTGCTCTTACATACACGCAGGTAAAACACTCATAGGCATTAAATAAAAATAAATAATTAAAATTTAAAATGAATTATCAAATTGAGTGTACAACATAAAACTATGAAAATTCCAGACAAAAAGGAGAAAATGTGTAACCTTGGATTAGGAAACTATTGTTTTTTTTTTTCAATATGACATCAAAAGCACAAACCAAACTTGATTTTTGTGAAAATTAAGAAACTTCTACTCCATAGAGACAGAATGAAATGACCAGTCAAAGATGTGCATTTCCAAATCACATACCTAATAAATGAACTGTATTTTAAACATAAAAATTGTGATAGTGATTTGTGCCTAGAGCTTCCCTTGTGAACCATGAGTTTCCAGAAGCAAGAACTATAGGATAAACAAACTATATGATAAAGTTTTATCATTGCCTGAATACAACAGCCAGCACTGAAAGAGAATGTGAATGAACAGATGACTTGGATGGATGGATGGACGGATGGATGGAGGAAAGAGTTGATGGGTTGGCTCAGTGGTTGATTAATGGGTGAATGAATGGATGATGAATGGATTTAAAAAGTTGAGTGGGTTGGACCAGTAAAGTGATTAATGGGTGAACAGACAGGTGGTAGATAGACAGGTAATGATAAATAGGTGGATGTGATGGTGGAAGGAAGGAAAGAAGAAAGAAAGGGAGGAAGGCAGGAAGGAAGGAAGGAAGGAAGGAAGGAAGGAAGGAAGGAAGGAAGGAAGGAAGACAGGAAGGAAGGAAGTCAGGAAGGAAGGAAGGCAGGAAGGCAGGAAGGAAGGAAGGCAGGAAGGAAGGCAGGAAGGCAGGAAGGAAGGCAGGAAGGAAGGCAGGAAGGAAGGCAGGAAGGCAGGAAGGCGGGAAGGAAGGAAGGAAGGCAAGAAGGCAGGAAGGCAGGAAGAAAGGAAGGAAGGCAGGAAGGAAGGCAGGAAGGAAGGCAGGAAGAACAGTGAGCCTGGACTAAGGAACACTGAAAGAAGAAAAGTGCTCCATTCTGAGTGCTGTTGGGGTGTGAGCACATGCATCCACTATCCTAGTTTGCTTTCTATCGCTGTGACAAAACACTGACCAAAACCAACTTGGGCTACAAATAAAGGTTTATTTAGTTTACATGTTCTGATCACAGTTCATCATTGAGGGAAGCCAAGGCAGAAATTCAAGGCAGGAACCTGGAGGCAGGGGCTGAAGCACAGACCATGGAGGAATGCTGCTTCTTGGCCTGGGCTCAGCCTGCTTTCTTGTAACACAGGACCACCTGCCTAGGGGCTGCACTGCTCACAGTGGGCTGGGGCCTCCCACATCACCCAGCAATCCAGAAAATGCCTCACAGATATGCCCATAGGCCAATCCAATAGAAGATCCAATAGAGGAAATTTTCCAGTTGAGGGTCCCTCTTTCCAGGTGTATCAAGCTGATAGCTGGAGCTATCCAGCCCAGCCACTTCTATAGTCTATCTACTAATGAGAACGGCAGCCGAATTTTTAAAGCACAAAGAATTTTAAGTCACTGAGAAAGTGTGAATACCAATTCTTTTAACTTGTATTGGGCTTCACCATGTGCCAGGAAGGAATCACTCTGAGAAGATAGGGTCTCCTGGTATACCTGCTTTCAATGTGACCATAGTTCCAAGAGACACAGGAAAGGACTACCGGGGCTGTGGTGTAGTGAGGTTGCTCAGATCTGGAGGAGAGGACCAGCTGGTTGGACCAGGTGTGCAAAAGTTCCATACTAGTGCTGCCTCACAGGAATGTGTAGGGTGGCAGGGGAGGGATCCAGTAGGAGCAGGGAGCACAGAATACCCTCAGGCCCTGGCCAAGCACAAGATAGGAGCTTCCAACCCTGGGTCCTCAATGGGAACATCTGAGGAGCTTTCCTCAAAATTGAGTTCCTCCTACCACATTGTGGTGTGGATGTAGCAACCTGGGTTGGTCCCTGAGAAGAAACTGGGTAGAGCAGGGCAGAGCCAGAGCGGACAGTGGGACCAGTCATCAAATGCGACAGTGGTTGCAGGGTAACTTCGTGTAAACAACAGTAATTTTTAAATTTATTTTTAAGTGTATTAATGTTTTGCCTGCTAGTATGCAAGTGTACCACATGTGTGCAATGCCCATGGAGGCCTGAAGAAGGTGTCAGATCCCCTGGAACTGGAGTTACAGACAGTTGATAACCACCATGAAGGTGTTGGGAAAGGAACCCGAGTCCTCTGCAAGAGTTCTTAACCACGGAACCATCTTTCCAGCCCCAGCAACAGTAATTTTTAAGACAAGTATGTCTGAGCTGCTGTGGGGACATGCTAATACTAAACAGCTAATCATGGTACAGAATTTAGCAGTAACTGGATATTCCATATTTTTATTTGCTACGTATGTCTTTCTGTGTGTAGGTGGCAGGATGGACATGAGGGAACTCCTGAAGGGTTGAAGGGTTAAAGCCAGGACAGTGTGGCTAGATTTGCAGTGCAGATCAGCAGAAAGATGCATGACAGAAAGGCCTAGCCTCACTGGAACTCCAGCCCTGAGAAGCATCCATGGAGGCTGTCTAACTGGAGTAAAACTGATGAGAGGTGGGGTAACACTGCAGAGTTACTCTGTACAGTTTGAGGTGAAGTTCAGGGTGAGAAAAAATGTGTTTTAGCAGGAAGGCCCAGGAAAGCTTCTGGGGCAGGCAGTGTTCTGAGCAACTGTGCTTTTACTGGATTATTCTAGATTAAGGAATATCAAGCAGACTATGCCCAGTCCCTGCTCAGGGAAGATCGGGTAGGTCTCAGGGGTCTGTTCCCATGAGATCTGGCTTGGGCAGACCAGATGTCTGCCCATGTAGACAGAGAACATTTTGTCCTGACAGCTGATGAAACCTTCACCAACTTTGACCTCACAAAGTATGTGCATCAAAGTATGTACATACCATTCCGAAACACAGTGTGGCTGCCAACAGGAAGAGGGCTCCAAGGTAATGAGCCATGTCTGGTTGATCGGACTCCCAAAGATCCTGCCATGAGTCCTTTTGGCTTCTTCCCAGAAAACCAAACAGAGGACCAGGAATTACATCTGCAGAGGTCCAGGATGACGGCATCCAGGTGAAGAGCAGAAACCGGCACAGGCGGCAGTGGGTGGCCAACAGCAAGACCCCAACCAGCTGCAGGGAGCAAACCCCATGACACTGATCCTGTCAGCTCTCTTTAGAGGAGGTTACTTTGGGGATTCTAAATACATTTTTTTTTTTTTTTTGGTCTTTTCGAGACAGGGTCTCCCTATAGCCCCAGCTGTCCTGGATTCACTATGGAGACCAGGCTGGCCTGGAACTCAGAGATCCACCTGCCTCTGACTCCCAAGTGCTGAGATTAAAGGTGTGCACCACCATGCCCGGCCCTTTTAAGTAGCTAAAAGCTTGGAGAAGGGGATTATTATTATTTATTTTTTTTGTCTTTTTGAGACAGTGTCTCACTGTAACCCCAGCTGGCCTGGATTCACTATGGAGACCAGGCTGGCCTCGAACTCACAGAGATCTGCCTGTCCCTGCTGCCCAAATGCTGGAATTAAAGGTTTGTGTGACCACATCCAGCTTGGAGAAGGAGATTTTATGTGTGGCTCAGGCCCTCCTGGTTTAGGAACTCACCTTACAGGTCAGTCTCTACCAGGGATGCCTCCCTCAGATCTCTCTGTGTATATCTGTCTGTACCCACATGCTCCAAGCAACCCAGTGGCTCTGCAGGGTGGCCTGTGCACCCTCCTCCACTGTTAGTGCTCTTCCTGCCCCATGCCCTCTCCTCCTCTACTGATGCTTAGGAGGGTGGCTGATGGCCAGGCCACAAGCCACACACATGGCCTGTGTGGGTCAGTGAGAGACAACCAGCTGTAACGACATCCTCCCTTCTCGTTTGTCCTTGCTATCAGTGGCCTGCCCCTCCAGCCTTTGGTCAAAGGCACTTTGCATATACATTGGAGTCACCTGTCAGGGGGACCCTGTTACCATGCTTGGCTCTGGTGCCCAGCGCCCAGAAAATGCTTGGCAAGGTAGATCAAGAAGCATCATGGAAGTCTACTTTGAGGCAAACCAGGTCTTGTTAAGTGTGTCGTCCTGGCTGAAACACATAGGGACTTGGCCTGGGGTTTTAGTTCTTATGTCACTGGTCCAGCTTGTTCTTCACTCCATCTAATGCTCCAGGGCTGACATAATTTCTCAGATAGAAGACAGACCATCGCCTATCCACCACAGGTACCACTGTTCTCCGTTTGTCTCCCTGGTGCTGCATTTAGAACTCCCTGTCCTTGCCTGGCACTTACTGGTATCATTTATTCTGACGTGGAATGGCACAAATCTCTGCAGGACCAGGAGGAAGAAAGCACAGTCTAGGTTGGGCATGGTGGAACATGTCTGCAGCCTTAGCACTTTGGAGGAGAGGCAGGAGGCTGTGTAGCTATCCTTGGCTACATAGTGAGTTTAAGACTAGTCTGGGCTTCATGAGACCTTGTATTAAAACCAGTAAGAACAGTAGGCAAGATGATTCGGTGGGTTAAGGCGCTTGCTGTCAAGTCTGAGGACCCCATGAACTCACATGGTGGAAGAACAGAACTGATTCCTGTAAACTGTCCTCTGATCTGTTCACAGAAACCCCTACCACCAAATAAATGGAAAAACATTCAGGTTAAAAAAAGCAGAACAAACAACAACAAACACTTAACCCATTAGTTTATATCTGATCAAATCAAGAGGAGGAACCTGCCTGGATCTTTCTGTTCCTATGGATGATGTGAATGCGTTGGGTAGAGGGCAGCCTGGGTTTAAAAAAACGCAGCTCTCTCTGTCTTTGAGTCTACTTTTCTGCTCTCATTTGCTGACCTGTCTCTCCAGGGGGCCAGCAAGGTTTGGGGTTCACATTGTATGGAGCAGGAGACTAGTGCTTGGTGCTCTGTGTGCTGTGTGACCCCTGGGCCCTGAGAACCAGAGCCTCCTCATTGCAGCCACCTGGCCAAGTGGCTCCCTCAGTCTTGATGGCAATTCTGTGTTGCTGCAGAGGCAGGAACCTGTCCTGCACCAGGCCCGTGGGGTCACAGCAAGCTCCTTCCCTGAATGGAGACTGGCCTTCTCCTGGTGGAAGGGTCAGGCACTCACAAGCACTCATGCAAACAGCTGAGTACCAGGTACCTGTACATTCCCTGTTTCTGATTGGGGTTTCTTGCTTTGTGTTCTGCTGATGTTACATGCTTCCACCAGTGAGGTAAATGATACAAAGTAAGTTCCAGTGTGCCAAGAGGGAAATCTTTAGGAGCAGGGCCCAGGTGACAAATGGATGTGGAAGCAGGCACATGGCTATCTAAGTACCTAAAAGTTATAGTCCCAGAGCAAGTATCATCTCCTCTCTCAGCCGCTTGCTCTACCCTCTGGAAAAAATGCCATTCTTGTAAGATTATTAAGTATGTTCACATACAGGCGGCCCAAACTCAGCATTCCTGACACTTAAAGAAAGATTCATAGGTGGTAATAACTGTGAGTAATAACCACAATATGCTGTGGGAAAGCATAACACAGAGCCAGTGTTTAATAAATCATAGCTATTGCTATCAGGAATATAATTTATAATGCAGATATCCCTTATCGAAACCCCACCATAATGGATTAGAAAGCTAGACTTCCGGATGGTGCATCAACTTGTAAGAAGTTCACTCTCCCCTAACTGATGAGAATGGTATGTTGGTTGACTGAGGAAATCATGAGGGGGGGGGGAGTCTTACCGCCGCCAGTGCAAAGAGTCTGGAGAGAGAGGGACGTATCACTGGAGAGGACACCGTGGTGTTTAGAAAGCCAGGGAGGAGAATGCATTTCCACATCCAGAGGAACAAGAGGATTCCCTGGAGCCATCGCACCCTCTGAGGGAAGAATGTGGCAGGTCAGCATCCTCCGGTGATGAGAAGGTGCAGAGGCTCCAGCACACCTGGGGGCCATGCTAAGTGAAGAGGGGATATAGACCACATGTCTCTCAGGGACACCAAGTGTCAGTGTCTGCAGAGGACAGCAAGTCAGAAGAAGAAGGAAGTACAAATTGTAATAGGTCTTGAGGAGGCAGACCTGTGAAGGGAGGACAGAGTAGGTCTGGCTGTTTCTCCTCTGAGGTGTCCAGACAGTCCACTGCACTGGAAGGTAAGGTTCATGTGGGTGGTGACGGAGTATACAGTCATGCTATCCCTCCCTTCATGTTACATGCTTCAAGCTAGTTGCCAGTCCTTTCCTTGTGGATCTTAATAATGTAATCCTTATGATAAACAGAAGTGCTCCCATTTTATATCCTTGGAGTCTATGGCTCAGACAAACAATGGAATGGGACAAAAGTCACACTGTAGGAGTAGGCACTGATCCAAGGTCACATGTAGTAGCCCAGAGTCTGGGTCCAGCACAGGCATCGTTGCCTCACAGGGTTGCCCAGAAGGCTATGTGTCTGCCTAAGGTGCATAGGAAAGGACTTTCAGTACCTCATCTATTCTTCCCAGGAGAAAGAATTGAATGATGCATGCTAGAGCTCCACATGGGCCAAGGAGCAAGGCTTTCTGTTTGCTTGGGATAATGCCGACCATGACCTCTGACAACTGAGGCCCAAGCAAGTTGTGAGTGTCTGTCACATGTGTGGTCCCTCCAAAGCGGGGAGAGACAGCCCACTGGGCTTGGGAAGAAATGGAGATGATTGGTGCTATAGCCAACAGTGGCTAGGAAAATACAATGCCAGCTACAGGTGGAATTTCAAATTTCCTGGTAGTTGCTACTTAACAGGTAGAAGTAAGCAGGAGAATTTATTCTATACTTTATTTAAACCAATGCGTGTAAAATAATATCATATAAAGTTAAGATATTTGCATATTGAGTTTATGAATTCCTTCACAATTCATCAAATGACTCCCCCCCATGGAGAGTTGGAGGCACTCAGCTGTGACTCAGCTCACGCTGCACCCCAGGCACTAAATGATGAAAATGAATGATTCTCTAGTGATGGAACAGAACACACTAGGCCAGAGAGCTCATAGGAGTGTGAGTGGAAATGCACACTTGTAGAGTCAGAAGACCCAAACCTCAGTCCCAGCGTGTGTCCGTGCTTGGCAGGACGAGACTTTGATAGGTCAGCTCTTACTCCAAAGCTAATAGCAAAGGCTATGAGAGAATCCCCGGAAGAGGGAATTTTTTCAGGCAAGTGTTTTGGCAGCAGCAGCGAATACAATGAGAAAGACTGGAAGGCTGTGATGTGAACCCAGGCCTGGAGGCCAGGCATCAGGAGGAGGCAGACTGCTCACTGAGTGTTCTGAGATTCCTGTTTGTTCTGACTAAGCTCCTAGATGATCTGCTGCCAGTGAGAAGAGCATCCTCTGAAGTGTCTCATGAAAACTAGCCGCCTATAGGCCTCTGGACATGAGCAAGAGAACTCTGGGATATGTTGGCACTGGAATTCAGACCAGTGTACAGCCCCAGTTACAGGGCAGAGCAGACATTAAGTAAGCGGCAATCCACTGGTAGAACAGAGAGACACAGCAAAGGTATACCAGGAAGCCTACCAATGAGGGACATACTCCTCATTGGAGTACAGGACTGTACTCCTAAGGTCACAGTTCCAGTGACATTGAAAAGGAGAACAAGAAGGAACCCACATTTCTCCATTTCTCTCTGTTTGGGGTCCTTCAGAGTACATCTCTCCCGTGGGCTTCTGGGTTTCTGGCGATCCCTTCTCTGGGCCACTCTGGCTACAGGCAGGTCCTACCACTCTCTGGGCCTCAGTTTCTCCAGCTGAACATCTGTCTTGGGCAAGCTCTAAGTTTCTGCTCTAAGATTTACCCTGAGTGTGGATGGTGATAAGGCAGAGAACACTGGGATGCGAGTTGACATAACTTCTGAGGAGACAGAGACCACAATGGTGTCACTTAGCCAGGAAAGGAAGGCTGGAGCTGTGGAGGAGACTACCAGTCTTATTGCCCTCTAGGGCTCCCCACACAGCAGACAGGAGAGCTGGGCCTGGGTTGATCGCAAGAGGAACCAGAGAGAGGAGGGAAAGTGATGGTGGAGCTGGAGGGGGGAAGTGATGTTGGAGAGGAACCAGTTCCCTTTCTTCCAGGTTGTTCTGGGAGCATCTGGACCAAAGCGTAAGGAGGTGCAGGGACTTAGAGGTCATGACTCCCAAGTCTTCTTATGAGCCTTGGGGTTGTCTCTTATCGAGACCACTTGCATGTAGGACTGTCTCCAGATGGATCAAGAGAGATACATATCTAAGCATGTCAGTGCCAGCCTCTTTCTTGTAGGCTGTGTCAACTGACACCTGCTTCCTCATGCAGCTGCAAGTCAGTTGAGTTCCAGGCTCTTGAGTTCTATATCACACAGAATCCTTGCATGCCCAGCTAGCAAGCATGTGTGAAGTTTCCCAAATCCCTTACATCTCTGTGTACCACCATCTTTGAGCTCACAGCATTGTCATTCAAAGAACAAATCCATTCACCTTGCATGTCTTAGCCCTTGTATGATGGATGTAACTGAGCAACTTTAGTTGTAGCCTCTGTCTGGGTGGCCGTGAGTCCCCATCATACCTGATTCCACAATGCCATCAGGCTGAAATCCACAAACATCGGACAAAGTCCTTTGCGGAACTGGTCAGTGACATCCCCAGCCAGGGTAGTGAGGTGACCAGAGGCTGCGCAGTAGACCAGGGCTACTCCAGACACAGAGAGCTGCAACACAGGAGGAAGAGTTCTCAGTCAGCTCTGAGGGAGGACTCGGCTGGAAACCTGACACACAAGCTGATTGTCAGAACATTGAGTAAGTGTTTGAGGAGACAGAGAAAGGGCTTGAATTTGGTCTCTGGAACCCATTAAAAAATGTCAGACCTAGTGGTATATGCTTGCAATCCCAGTGTGGGGGAGATAGAAACAGGTGGATTTCTTTGGATTGGTGACCAGTTAGTTTAGCCTAATTGATGATTTGCAGGCCAGGAAGAGACCCTGTCCTAAAAAGAAAGATGGGCTGGATATATTAACGCATGCCTTTTATCCCAGCACTCAGGAGGCAGAGGCAGTGACAGAGGAGCTCTGTGAGATGGAGGCCAGACTGTTCTAGTAGTGAGTTCTAAACCAGCTGTGGCTACAGGGAGATCCTGTCTCAAAAAACAAAACAAAAAAAAAACAAAACAAAAAAAAACAGATGTTGAGAAATGAAAACCAGGGTTGGCCTCCTCTGGCCTCAACATGCTAATACACCGAAACACATACATACAAAGCCACAGATACACATGCATACACAGACAAAAGAATATTCACATGCACACACACATACATACATATACACACATGCATACACACAAACCCACACATATACATACATACACAGACAAACACATATATATATATACATAGATGCATGCATACTCACATATATGCATACATAAAAACCAGGGTTGGCCTCCTCTTGCCTCAACATGCTAATACACCGAAACACATACATACAAAGCCACAGATACACATGCATACACAGACAAAAGAATATTCACATGCACACACACATACATACATATACACACATGCATACACACAAACCCACACATATACATACATACACAGACAAACACATATATATATATACATAGATGCATGCATACTCACATATATGCATACATACACACATATACATATATGCACAAGGATGCACACATGTACACACACACACACACAAAGCCAAATGCTGGAGAAACCTGATTTCAGATGCCATTCTGGCCTCCACACTAGAGTTTGGGAACCATAGTGAGGTTGGAAGCAGCCTGCGTTCATAGACTTCCAGTTAAAATTGTTTTTCCTTTTGGATATCTTTAGTGTTATTCTTCTACACAAAGAAGACAAGTTCAGTGAGGCTACCTCCAGCCAGTGTCTTGGTTTTCTCCAATAGCTGAGGACACCCTTGGTAGCCATCTCCCAGAGCTGGAAACAGAGGCGGGTCATGTTGAGTACCAGGAACATCAGCTGACAGAGGATGGAAACAAGCAAGATGAGAGTTCAGATAAGTTGCAAGGCCTAAACTTCTGGCTGGTTCCAGTGTTTTTTCAGTAACACGGCACAGGCCATTTTCTCTGTAGCATTTGATTATGAACTTGCCCTTCAGCAGGCACTTGGGAAGGTTGGCATCACTTCATACCAAGCACTCCTAGAAACCCAACTCCGTGCCAATCATTAAGACCCACCATGGTCCTTGCAGGCATCAGAATCGGGCATATGGATGTCCACAGCTCCCCTGAGCCTCGCTTTCCATGGCAGCCCACCATTTATTCATGAGTTTACAAGAAATGAAACCCATCAGCATAGGCTTTAGGATTCTCTAGTCTGCTCGGGTGCTGTGTGTACTATGCCTTGTAGGTTCACTCTAAGAAACTACAGACATAAGCAGAGCAAAGTGGAGTTTGGGTGTTAAGAGAAGGTGTGAAATAGTACTGTGCCATGCCATACTGGAGTCTAGGGCCAAGGGAACAGTCAGGGAAACTGACCTGCTCTTCTAAAATCATGACATTTTGCCAAATATGGTTTTATCTACTTTTTGCATGAACTTTGATATTCTAAAATATTGCAGCAGAACACTGTTCACCTTGATTCCTGGTTTTCTCTTTTTTGGTGTCTGAGGCAAGGGTCCCCAGCACCAGCCTCAGCCTGGTAGCCCACACTTAGGTTTCTTGCCTATCCAGTGGCCTTCTAACAGCACAAGAGGGCTGACTATTCATTGAAGCTATGTGAATCACTCCATCTGACCAAGATACCTGGTGCTATGAATTGGGGGCTAGTATCCCCAAATTCATAAGTTGTAGCCCCAAACTCCTGTGCGTCTATGTTTGGAGACAGATCTCAATGTAGGTAGTCAAGGCTAAGTGCAGGCATGAGGTGGGGCCCTGTTCCTATATAATTAGGGTCTGTACACAAACTGATGCCTGAGAGCCTACACACCTTCTCCTCATTCACTGGCACCAAGAAGGGACTATGTGAGACAGGGATGCCTGCCTCCAAATAGAGACACACAGGGGTCTGAGGCTCTAAACTATAAATCTGGAGATATCAGTTCCCAATCGATAACACAGGGTGTCTGGGTCAGATGGAGTGGTTCACATAGCTTCACTGAACTGCCTACCAGCCAGGGAGCCAACCTTCCTGGCACCTTGATCTTGGCCTTCCAGCCTCCAGAACTGTGTTAAATAGAGGCTTGTTATTTAAGGCACCCAGCTTTTGTACAGTAGTCCCACTTACCTGAGGGGGACCCATGATGGGCCCTCAGTGGTTGTGTAGAATTGCAATAGTATTAAACTCTATTAATGCTAATATATATATATACATATATATGATAAACTTAATTTCTAAGAAGAGTTATAACAATACACACCACAAGGCTATTTAAAATTTAGGTATTGTTTACTTCTGGAAGACTCTAGTCTGTACTTTGTGATGATGGTTGACTACAGAGAGTAAAACATTGGACAAGGAAGAATGTCTGTGTTTTGTCACAGTAGCTGATGCCAACTAAGATCCCACAATGCATTTAGTACATTGACGTCTGCGCTCATCTTGTATATATGATGGTTGGTTTTTCCCACTGGGAGTCTTCCTTGAATCAGGCTCCCCATCTACGATGCCTGCATTGTGACAGGGACATGATATGAGCTGTAGGGTAGGCCAGAGGAGAACCCTAGTCTCATCCTGTGTAGGTACTCAGCTGAGGTGAAGCCCCAGTTCCCTGTGTTCATCCAGGAGGCCCAGGGTAGCTGAACTCACCTCAGAAAACACAAGGTGATATTGGCAGACTGAGTCACTTCGGAAAATGCTGAATGACTCCACCAAGGACCAAGGGACGAGACCTCCTGTGGGGAGGACCTCTGCACCCAGGCTTACACTCGTGAAGAGTTGGGTTGAAGGATTGTAGAGGGTGAAGTGCACAGACATGGCCCTGGTGCTGCAGCTGATCCACCTGCTGGTCCTGAGGGCGGTCAGGGCTGCATGGGCTTCAAGCCTGGAAAGCAGTCCCAGTTCAGAGAGAGGGCACGGAGCAAGGCTTGAGAATCCAGGGAAAACCCATGCCTAGAGCACTAATACAAGCCTTGATTAGGATAGATGGCACCCAGGCTTCAGAAATTGCATAGCTGGCCCTTCCTGTGTGTTAAGGATCCCCGCCAGGAGTCCACTGCCCCTCTCCTTGCTCTGTCTCTTTTCTACACCAGCCAGGATGGAACCCAGGTCCTCCACAAAAGCAGCCAGTACTCTTAGCTGTTGAGCCATCTCTCCAGCCCCATACCATTATTTTAAAGCAGGAACAAATCTCACTCTGGGCTTGGCAGTGCTGTCCCTTCCCAGGGTTGCCTCTTCCCAGGCCTGCTGCAGACATACCACAGCCAGCAATGGGACCTGGGAGCAGCCCAACAGGCCGGATGGCTGCTGCCCCTGCCACTCGCTGACCTTGTTTTCCCCAGGCTGTGCATGTAGCTCTCCCTCCTCATCCTGCAGGCCTCAGGACCACCAGGAGTCATATTTCGGTTCTCAAAGTCAAGCTCAGGATTTGGAATATGAAGAGAATCTTCCATGAATGCTGAGAAGGGTCTGTGAGGCTGGGACACAAACCACCAATCAGAAGCAGCCTTGATGGATCCCTGACTCCAAGTCCACCTGCACTGTGGGATTCCCAAGCTCGGCCACAGAAAGGACAACCCGGCTATGTGACCAGGCACTGTACTACACTCAAGGACTGCTTTGCAGACATCTTAGGATTTCTGGGCTCTAGCAGAAACTAGAAAGATCAAGGCCATGCCTGCTGAAGGCAGAACATGGAGCAGTTAGCTGTGTGGGACTGGACAATCCGCAGAACTCCCCGTTATGAGCTGGCACGTGGAAAATGCTCTCTTTCGGAGGACCTGTCCCCATAAGAAAGGAATATAAAAATATTGTAATTTCATGTTTTTAGACGAAAGAGGCTTCTTTTGCCTAGGATGCCAGCTCTAAAAGTGAAGAGCTATCCTGGGGCAGAACACTGAGGTTGAGGACTGGAATCTGGCGACCTCCTGTCCCAGTACCTGCCAGATTTTGTGCCTCTTACCTTGCATCCAGGGCTAGAAGAAACTTTCAGCTGCTTAATTACTGAAGTGCCTATTAGGTGGCACTGCCCTCCAAGAGCATCAGGCTGAAAGAAGAAGAGAGACTCAGGGGGCTGTGCGGATTGTGGACTTCAAACACCACCCGTGAAGCGGTGCTGAAAGTCCTGGGGAAACACGGCGAACCAACCACATCTACCGCTGTCATGAAAACCTGAGGATGCAACCAGTGTTCCAGGAAGAACCCTTCTGAGGATGCAACCAAGCAATTCCTCCAGGCCTCATCGCTGGAAAGGGAAAGCATTCAATTCATCTCATATAAAGGACCCACTGTCCTCATCCCAAAGTACTACATGGGAATCAACGGAAAGAAATGAGGGACCAGGTGTTGGAGGAATGCAGGGAAAGAGCTTACTTATTTCCAGAAGGGGGGGGGGAGAAAGTGAAGTCTGAATAGGGAATGGGGTGATAAAAGTGCACATTTACTTTTCTTCCCAATTTAGGAGTTAGGAAGTTTCTTTCATGATGCCACCTCAGCTGTTGGTGCCTCCGGGGATGCCTTGAGCCCTTGCCATACTAGTCTTTGTACCTGAACTAGCGTTTGCTTTTAAAAATTTTTAATTGAATTTTTGTAAATTTCATACAAGATATTTTGATATTTAGACCCCCCACCTGTGCCTCTCTTACATCCTCCTCCAGTTTTCATGACTCTGTCATATATATTAAGGCCTATTGAGCCAGTTTGTGTCTCCAAATGTCCTTTGGTGTGAGTCTACTGGAGCCTGGTTAACCTATCTAGCATCACACACTTAAAGAGAACTCTCTCTCTCTCTCTCTCTCTCTCTCTCTCTCTCTCTCTCTCTCTCTCTATATTTTTTCCTCTCTCTCTCTCTCTCTCTCTCTCTCTCTCTCTCTCTCTCTTTCTCCAAGTTGTTATCAGTTGCCAATATTTCCTCAGCTAAGGTTGGGGCTTCTCACCTACTTCCCCACTTCTATGCTGGGATTTTTGTGTGGTTTGACCTTATATGGGTCCTGTTCATGCTGTTACCATTGCTATAAATTAAATATTTGTTTTGTTATGTTTATGTGTATGAGTGTTTGCCTGCATGTGAGTGCACCTGTGTGTGCAATGCCTGTGGAGACCAGAACAGGGTATCAGATCCCCTGGTGCTGGAGTTACAGATGGTTATTAGCACCCATGTGGGTGATGGGAACTGAATCCAGGTCCTCTGCAAAAGCAGTCGGTGCTCTTAATCACTGAGCCATCTCTCCAGCCTCCTGGACTAGCTTTTTCCTATGACTCACCACCCTGCACCCCCTCAACCTCAGCATGTGTTCAGGTCTGGGTAGGGTTGGCAAGTACTGACTGTAGAGTGTCTGTGTGACTGAGAAGGGTTCATGAAAAGAACACAGATTCCAGGCAAGAGTCATGGGATGTTCTGCTGGCCACAGCACTATGGGGGAAGACTCTACACCACACCGAGTTCCCTTCACTGCTACATAGCTTCTGACACGGAAGAAAAGCAGCCCACCTGAGCACCCCATGCTCCAGCAGAGGATCCTCCAGGGTACAGCCCATCCAGCATTGTGCTCAGAGTCCAGTCCCACCAGTCATCTGTGCTGCTCAGGTCCTCCAAGGAGCGTCTGGCGTTTCTTAATCCAAGAACAAATTCAAGAAGTATTTGAACATCCGTAAGAGCAATTCAAAGTAAGGAAACCAAGGTTTTTTCTGTCAGTTTTTATGTCATCCACATTTCGGGCACAAACTCCAGGATTCATTTTGTTCCTTGGTTGCAGGGGGAAGAGAGAACAGTGGGAAAAGCAGTTGTTCACTCACTCACTCACTCAGTCAACAAACATTATTGTGCAACTACTAAGCACCAGGCACTCTTCTAGTCACTGGGAAACATAAAGTCAAATCCTTGGCACTCGGACGGAGAAGCAAATTTCTATGATAACAGACTTATAACTTATGATATTTTGATTTTACAATGATACCAAATTTCACCCATAAACCATTCTGTTTTTTACTTTTATCACCGTCTCCAATAAATTCCATGGAATATTCAACACTTCATTATGAAGTAGTCTTAGGTTACCAACTGTGAGTGTCCTGAGCATGTTCACAGCAGATTAGCTGAGCTAAGATGAAGGAGAAGTCAGTGTATGGATTCATATGCTTTTGACTTAAGATAGTTTCAGTTCTCAGTTCATGATGGGTTTCTTGGGACAGAGCCCCAAGGTAAGTCAATAAGGATGTCCACCGGAAAAACGTTCACAATGTTAGAGATAAATATGAATAGGCATAAGAAGCAGAAATGGAAGACAGGAAGCTGTGGGTGGGCAGATAAAGATTTTAGTTCAAGTAGCCATGGAGCAAGCCAGAAAGGCCCTGAGGAAGGACCCCTGTGGTCATCTAAGGTGAGCGTTCCAGGAAGAGGGGCTGCAGGGCACTCATGTGTTTGTTCAGAGGTTAGGAAGAGAGGTCAGTGTGGCTGTGCAGAGAGCACAAGGTGAGAGTGGATAGGGAGGCCAGGGGCAACAGGTGCTCTCTACCACAGTAGACTGGGAATAGGGCCATGGAGTGTCATCTGCCTGCCAGGCTGGCTGTGAGCACTGAATGAGCAGCTGCTCTGGCACAGAGTAAGTAGGTAACAGATGCTAGTTTCCCATTAACTTCTTTTATGGTACAGCGATGGAACCTGAGGCTTTGCACATGCCAGAACTCTTCTCTCAGCCCCTCCAATTAACACCTTTATTAGATTTATTAGGTATCTGCTTTACTTTTTCACCAAGGAGCTGATTTAAGGGAGCACTGAAAGGATTGCCAATCGACAGAGTATATCACTGTCAACTCACTTGGACACCCACAAAGGGCCATGTGCCCATGCTGCCTTGATCAGCACTAATATCTCTGGCTGGAGTCAGAGGGAAAGGGAAAAATAAATATTCCTCTGAGAAAGCAAAGGACCTATCACCAAAGTTAAAACATTCTCACACATGGCTTCCCATTAAGGGACTGAATAAAGGCAAGGAGAGCCTGCTCGGGGGCATGCCTAGAGCAGTTAGGTGTGGGTCTGATGTGACTCATTGAGCCCTTTATCCATGAAAAGGAGAAATCAAAATATTTCTCAGAGAAAGTAATTTTTTTGGAAGATGGTATGAATTTAGAAAAGGTTACAAACTCAAGTCATCCAAGTACACACCATTCCAGTGTCCTGCCCATTCCAACAGCTAAGACAAAACTGCTCCAAAGAGTGAACTGAAGACCAGTCTGCAGACAGTGACCATGACTTTGATAAACTAGCTTTAACAGTAAAGTTGGACTAGGGGGAAAATGAGCTAGTGTGCACCAGCCAGAGAGCCATATCTCTTCCCAACTCTATCTTCAAGGACATATGACCTCCTTAGTGTGAGGTGACCCACAGCAGACACATTTACACCATGGAAATTGGCAGGTGGATGCATCTAGCATGGAGCACACTTCAGAGACTGTTCTCCACCAGGGTGTGGACAGGTATTCCACTAGTGATACAGCATAGATTTTAGAGATGACTTTTAAAAAGTCATGACCTTACAGTCATGTCAAAAAGCTGAATGATTTAAACAAAAAGAAACCAAGTACAAAGAAAATACATCAATATGTAAGTTATAGAGAGAAGCAAATAGACTAAAAATGTGTTCAAAGTTCCCATAGCACATGGGAACAAAAGTCCAGGAGCTATTTATCTCACTGGTTTTAGTTCCTTTGTTTTGTTTGCCTGAAATACTGATATGGTTTCCCACCCGTTCAAATGCTTTGTTTCTGTTTTGGGTAGCCTAATCTGTGGAGGCCTCCCATTGAGAGCTTGTTATCAACTCTACACTTCTCTGAAACTTGGCCAAACTGTATGAAATTCTGAGTAAGTGGGAGACCTGCAGAAACATCCAGAGACTGGGATGGGGAAACAGAGTGGTGTCAGAAAAGAAGAATCAAAAAAGAGATACTGGGGGTGTGTTTGGGGGGGCGGGGGGCACAAGGCAAACAGATACAATTCTGAAGGTATTTGAAAACCATTGGGAAAAGGGCCTCACCGAGAGACACTGAGTGGCGGAGAAGGGAAAGGAGGAATAGTACAAATTTTATAAGCATATTGAGTTCACACAACATTTATTGAGATACTGGGGATCAGTCCCAAGGCCTTGCCCATATTAAGCACATCTCTATCACTGAGCCGCACCCCTAGTCCAAGTTTGCACAACTCAGAGAAATTCTGTCATTTCCTGACACTTGCTCCCTATGGGATAACATTAAAGAAACTGTCAAGAAACACCCAAGTTTCAAGAATCCACACATCCATACCTAGAGGAACACTGGCACACTGGAGAGCGGGCGGGGAACCAAGGGATCCAAGAATGTTCTGGGCCCCATCTGTACTAATGACAGCAATGATATAAAATGGATCATAGTGCCTACTCAGCCAGCAGAAAGAGCACCAGCAGCTCTTTTGAGACTGGTATTTGATGGAGCCCTACTCTCAGTTATTGGTGCTTTTCTCAGTGGCTTATTTTTGTTTTGTTTGCCTGGAATTTTTTGGTGTGTGTGTGTGTGTGTGTGTGTGTGTGTGTGTGTGTGTGTGTAGATAGAAATCCACATTTTGCCTTCCTAACCTTCCTAACCTCATAGAAGAAGATACTGCAGCTGGGGGCCAGCCACAAGTCAACAGTGACCATTTTCAGGCTCCACTGCCTCTGCCTCCCCTGGGCTGTCCCTCCCCCTGGAATGCTACAAATAATAGACCCTCAGGTCTTGTTGATTTTTAGGATTAGTATGGGAGGATGGGGTGAGGCAGAGAGGGTCCACTTTAAACATTCCATTTTGTACCAGGGTGCATAAATATTTCCCTGCCTGGTGACCAGAGCTGCCAGAGGCAGTAAAGTTTTACATTTGCATCCTTGTGGGAAACATAATCTCTTCAAGTCCACCTGGGTCAGCATCTGAGAGGTTTACCTGAGTGAATCAGGCCCACATACACAAGGAAATCTCACAGATAGTATCTCAGCTGGAATATTTCCGATTTGAATATCAAGTGCCATATGAGAAATGTCAAATAGTACTGATTCGTGAAATGTGAGCTAAAAATAAATCAATCGAAGTCAGTTTTTTTCATGTTTTGATTTTAATTTCTGGAGAAAATTCCCCACATTGCCCCTTTTTCTGCTCACAGCACTCCCTTCTGGCACAGTCTGTGCACCTGCTCAGCTGGAAGAACAGGTTACAATAGAAGGTAACTGTTACTTTGCAAAATGAGATGCAGAAAGTACCAGTTAGCTTCCCTGCTGGAATTGTTCGACAATACGAAGTTGGATTATTGAGCCATGAAAAGTCCATATTAATCAAATTGGGACTTCTAGGTTGAACCTTGTTAGCAATAAAATATAATAATAAAGGGCATGGCACTCCCTAGTCACAAGCTAGCAGGGCATCAAATGTCTTTCTGCCTTACAGAATTTAAAAAGAAACATATTCTTAAATCAACAAGATTAAATGAATTTTACAGTTGTTTTCTCCTGCCAAAAAATGCAGCAAAAATATTTACATCAAACTAAATAAGCACCAACATTCACAGAAATACTATAGAAGTGTGCACAAAACCATTCTGTACAGACAGAGAAAGGAAAGCTGGGAACTCAAAGAATTACTCTACTTCCTGTCACTAGAAAGTAACAAGTATTGGGGCTGGAGAGATGGCTCAGTGGTTAAGAACACTGGTTGTTCTTGCAGAAGACCCGGGTTCAAATCCCAGCACCCACATGGCAGCTAACAACTGTCTGTAATTCCAGTCTTAGGGGATCCGACAGCCTCTTCTGTCCTCTGCGGGCATTGCACGACATGGGTGTACTTACCTACATGCAGGCAATACATGCATACACATAAAGTAAAAATAATAAATAAAAATTTTTTAAAGTTTAAAAAAAAAGAAAGTAACGAGTATCAATTCATACTGTCAGAATTCAAACTGCCTTGAAAGAACTGTCAGATTGCCTGGTTTCACAACTTTCAATGACAGAGGCATGCTAGATTGTCTCCATTGGTTTCCCTGCAGAAATCCTAATCTCAGAGCTGTGAAGGTTTTAAAAAGAAGCCTACAGATGCCACTGTCTCAAGAACCATGGAAATCCTTCTGCCTTGGATTGCCCTCTTGTTCCGTGCTCACTTATGATGAAAGTTTGCTGCATTTATAAGTAGGAAAAAGTAAATGAACACCTGACATAGGGTAGGGAACTTGGGGGAGCTCTATAGTTTGAAAGGGGTGTCATGTATTATATTCAGCTTTTGGTTGAAGAACTCTGATGTTTTTTGCCAAAACACTGGTAAGACTCTGTTTGGGCCTAGAACTTCTTCAACTCTGTCCCAAATTGAGATGCTAGGCATTTGCTGAAAGTCTGAGAATGGAGGTCTCCTGTTAATGTGTTAACATGTCGAGTAAGTCAATTGGATGGCCTGTCCCAGACTTCATATGCAGGATAGGATGCAGATCGCTCTCTGGGCTGTCCTACATAGGTAAAATGAACTGAAGGAGTGGTGGGTTGGAAGGTCTGCAGAGTTCCCCCAGGCTCTGTCTACACTAGAAGACAAGAGGTAGCTCATTCAGAGAAACAAAGTGAAGACGACAGCTTCTAGAACCTGAGCTTGGAGCACTCTAGGAGCACAGTGACCACCGACTAGATCTATAGGCACTCCCCAAGCCTCCTACCTTGTAAATTCCTTCCTGATAGCTTGATTGAGAGAGCGTTCACCTGGGCAGAATCTCCCATATATTAGAAGCAAAAGCTGCAGCAGCAGGAGGCTGTGCATGCAAACGTCTCTAGAAGGAGAGATTTGAGTCAGCATCCTTGTAGACCCTCTGCGTCTACATTCTCTGTTCCCTCGCAAAAGATGGAACAGGACGTCTACATCCCTGACAGGAAGTCTCTGTATAACGCATGGGATGCATTGAAGTTTGCTTTTATTCTTTTTTTCAATATTTTTCAATATTCAGCTTTCTTGGCATTTTTGAAGACTATCCTTTGTTCACTGGATTGTCTACGCTTTGTCAACAAAATCGTGTGGCTGTTTCTGGGCTCTGTTCCATCTCCTTCTGTAGATCTATCTGTGTGTCTATTCTACTGATCTGTGAGCTATTCTGTCACTCAAGAACCCACAGCGGTTTCTGCAGAGTTGCATGGTCCACCCTCCAGCTTTGTTCTTCCCGGAATTGCTTTGGCTCCTCTAGTTTCTTTGCTTCCCACATTCATTTTAGAATCAGCTTGTCGACATCAATTTTGAAAAGCTTATGGGAGTTAGGTTGTGACTGCACTGAACCTGCAGATCAAATTGGAATACCCAATGCACTGCTGTCTCCCAGCTGATGTGCACAGTGTTTCCCTTTTACTTAGTTCTTTCTTTAGTTTTTCATCAGTTTTGTGGGTTTGGGCACACAGTCCCTGAAAGCTTTACTACATTTTTATGTGCATACTTTATTTCTTCAGTGGTACAGTAAATAACACCATGTTTTATATTTCAATTATTATTAATTGCAAGCATGTAGGAACATGATCGCCTTTTAACTGTGTGCGTACGTGCATGCGTGCATGCGTGCGTGTGTGTGTGTGTGTGTGTGTGTGTGTGTTTATAGGCCAGGGTCAACCTCAGGTGTTGTTTCTCATGAGCCATCTACTTACTTTTTGAGGTAGGCTTCTCATTGGGGCCTATGGCTCACTGATTTGGCTAGACCAGCTGGCCACTGAGCTCCAGGGGTTCTCCTGTCTCCACCTCCTCAGTGCTGGAACTACAAGCATGTGCCACCTGCCTGGCTTTTACCTGGGTGCTAGGGATGAAGCTCAGGTCCTTATGCTTATGTAACAAGTACCCTGAAGACTGGGTTATCTACCCAGCCCCAAAATGTTTTATGATATTGATTCTACCCTATAAGTTTGTGACTTTTTGTTGTAGATTATTTGGAAAATTTTGAGTAGATTATTCACATCATCTGCCAGCAGGCTGCTTCTTTTCTTATCAAATAAGTGACACCCTCCCCCGATAGCTTACTGGCTCAAATTTCCATTTGGGCATTCAGTGGGAGTGATAGAGGGTCTCTTCACCTTGTTTCTGATCTCAGAGTATTTCACCTGTAAATATTCCAGTTAGGCACAAGGCTTTCATGGATGCTCTTTACTGGCACAGGGAAGCTCTCTGCTCTAGTTCTGTTTTGTTGAGTTTTAGTTTCTTTCATGAACACTCAATATTGTCAAACACTTTTTATGCATCTGGCATCATTTTCCTTGCTCAGTCTGTCGCTGTGGTGCACGCTGACCGCTTTTCTGCTCAGGAGTCTTATCTATAGGGCCCCCCTCCATTTCTTTATGATTGCTTTGCCTTGCTGAGCACACTGTTTTTTCATGCTGTAAAGTTCTCAGATTGGTGTCTCTTGGTGTTACTAAGTGTGATCTCAATGTAAACTCCAAATTGCCAAGAAGTAAAAGGGAAGGAAAAACGTCCGCCTCTCTTTTTATGTTACCTGCTCTTCACGCTCCATACATAGTTCATTAGTTTATTTAAGGTTGCACCAATGTTCAGGTTCTAACTCTGTGGTTTGCTCTCATGGGCACTGACTGGGACGTCTCTCTGAAGAAACCCCCCGTCCCCTGCCATGTGCTTCCTCATGTAGAGTTAGTCAGGAAAGGCAAGATGGACAACTTTGCTTCCTAATGTTGAAGAAAGCTGGTCTGAACATCTGTCACAGTGTTTGGTGCTGCTCTAAACCGTTGCCTTTAAATATTCTTCAGGAACCTCAATCTACTGTAGTTACTATTCTTGAGCTGGTGCCAAGTTGTACCATCTTTGACCAACACAGGCCTCCTCCAGTGTCTGCTGAGTCCTTAGCAGTGATGTTGACTACTCATTCTGAATTGCCTCTGTGATTAGGAAATTGTTCAAGCTTATCTGTGCATTTTCTGTCACAGGAGGTGAAAAATGGTGTTTGTAGATTCTAGGTGTGAGGGGTTCATTGTTCTTGGGTGGCTTTTAGTGCTTTACTTAACAGATACACCTAGAAAAACAATGTATTTCCTTAAAGAATAAACTCTCCATTATATATATATCACACACATATATATAATATATAATATATAATATATAATATATGTATATATATTTGAGACAAGGTCTCCCTGTAGCCCCAGCTGGCCTGGAGCTCCATATGTAGACCAGGCCAGACTAGCTCTCACAGAGATCTTCCTACCTCTGTCTTCTAAGTTCTGGGATTAAAGATGTGAGCCACCATGCCTAGACATCATACTTACACTTCTAATTCAAATTCAAGACTACAGAGTTTTGGTATCTTTGAGCCAGAATCTGTGCTCCCTTTCTGGAACACCAGGATAGCACTTTTTGAAAGATAAGAGCAATGACAAAATTAGAAAAAAATCATATAATTCCTTGTTTGGCTTATTCTAAAATGAATCAGTAATCGGAAGGAAGACAACACTGATGATTTGGTTTCAGTTTACATTTGAGTCTTATAGGATTAGCTCATAATTTTCCTACATGTTTTATGCATTTGTCCTTAATACTATGCTGGATCCTGTATTACTGTGTTTTGTCATTTGCTGTGCTGGACAGTCTAGTGTTCAATCTTTTTTTTTAAACTTTACTTTGGTCATACAAAGCATAATGGTTGTTGTATTTTAATTTTATAATGTGCTACTATTAAATTATGTTGTTACTTTGTAGTATTTATTTCATTTTGTGGGATTTTTCAAACTTTTACTAATGTAAGATGCAAAAAGAGCTAACTTTGGCTGGGTATGGTGGTGCATGCCTTTAACCCTAGCACTCAGGTTAGGTAGGCTGATCTCTGGAATTTTGAGGCTTGTCTCAAATTAAAAGAAAAAAATCAAATCAAATAGAAAAGAACTGTCTTTGTCTTTTTTGTGTTCTCTGACATTCTCCTTAGTATGGAATCTGCCTGTGTTTTTCTCAGTGTAAGGCCTTGTCCTGGGGAGCTGGCTTCCTCAGCTCAGCTCAGCTCAGTGCTCTGTGGGTGCTCTTTGGTGTCCAGACCCTGTACTGTCACCTGTAGCTGGAGGGTGCAGCAGCACATCTGCAGCAGGGACCCTGCAGGAGCCTGATTCTCCTGTTCTCAGTGCTCACGCACCTGCAGCTCCCTCCGTGTCTGGGTCCTGCAGAGACACAGTGCTACACAGTGCTGGGTGCACAGTGGTTTGTCTGCCCCTGTGTGATTTGGAGGTGTGTGTATGGGGAGGCAATATATCATTTAGATCTGCCATGCATGTTTTCTGTGGGTTTGTTTTTTGTAACTTAATTGTTCTAATTTTATGGGGAGAGTGAACAAGATTAAAAGTCTTCACCGATGCTCTGGCTTCCCAGAATTATTTTCTATTCGCTTTAAATGTAACATCCCAATACAACCACAACTCTGCTCTTTGAACAAGATTTGCTTCAGAATGTGTTCCTCATTTAAGGGGGGCTAACTGTGCTCCACACAGTGATGAAGGATTTTTAAGGAAGATGATCTGAGGTTCCAGTACATACTTTAGCAACATCATGGTGGGAGAAATACCTGGAGCTTCTAAATCCTTGATAAACTCCAGAAATCTCAAATTCAGAATTCAGAACCTGGAGGCATGTTTGACTGGTACTTATGGATGACTCCTCTGTGGATGGGGAGGGAGAAACAAGGCTGGGGTCTGATTTGGAGAGGTCTGCCTCAGTAGCCAGCTCTTCCTTTATTTTTCTTTTGAAAATTTATTTTTAAGTGTATAACTGTTTTGCCTACATATATGTAAGTGTACCACATGCATGCAGGAGGCCAGAAGAGGGCATTGTGTCCCCTGGAACTAGAGTTATGGATGGTTAGCTCCCAGGTCGGTTCTGGAAACCAAACCTGGGCCCTCTGCAAGAGTAGTCAGTGCTCTTAACTGCTACTGAGTTATCTCTCCAGCTCCAGTAGCTAGTTTTTAACCTTCATATTCTATGTCAAAAAACTGAAACAAGATTTTATGTTGAGCATAAGGGATAAGAGTTTTAAAACTCCTATCCTTCGGGCCAAACCACTGCCCTGTACAGTGCTGGTGCGTTTGTCATTAGCTTGCCACAGCCCATGACCCCGGCTGGAGGAGCAGAAAGCCAGGTCTAGTACTGAGCACCAATGTGATGTGTTGGGATTCAATGTGATACATGTAAGTCTATGTATGGCTGAGGGAACTGGGGTGCGGAGGGGCAGCCCCTCATCACTCATTGTGGGCAGGCTGCCGAGCACAATTTCCTCCTTCCAGTCAGTTTCCCTGTCCCATGCACCGGGCATGTGCTGAGACTTGAGAAAGGGTTCCATACTGTTTCCTCTGAAACTGAGCTAGGCCAGAGCAAGCCCATTGCCTCCAGGCCTGCACCCACCTCAGGGCTGCCTGCATGTGGCTCTCTCTCCTCAGTCTCTCCCTGGTCACTCTGAGCTGGGCCGTGGATGGTGGCTGAGCCCAGCGCAGGTGGCGTTCTCGTTGTCGGGCAGCCAAGATCTGTGAGAGAGGAGAGCACAGTGACCCTGGGGCCAGCAGTGGAGAGAGGTTTTTGGTGTCCCTGCCAAGCCAAGAGCCGTCATTACTGCTCTCTGCCTGGCATTCAGGAACAAAGAGAGACTTTGTGCAGTTAACACACACCGTGTTGTTAGGGAGGCGATGGGGGGAATAGACCCATTTAAAAGCTCTGGTCATGGTCCAGGCCAGCTCTTTTGGCAGGAATTGCAACTGGGCCACTACAAAGAACAGCTTCACATGAGGGGTGTGTCCACCACTGTCCAATCACAGGAGCAATTATCTTTGGTATTTGCATAGTAGTTCCTGTTACAGACCTCCAAAGACTGGAAAAGTGATTTTAAATACATTTTGTTTTAGCAAGAAATGACCTTTTGTTTTCTTGTTTTATAAAAGCATTATTGGTTTCATACTATGTCTGTATCTGTTTATGGGCAGGACAAACAGGAGCCAAGAACAGAACCATGGGAAATATTCAGTCTTTTGTTTTTCACTCATTTGCTTTACCCATTCAACACACAGTCAGGGAGCAGCCCTTGGTGCCGGCTCAGGGGATGCCAAGAGACCACAATCCTTCCTCCCCTAGATGTTGGGCTCTTAAGAAACAGTTGAACGTGTACGGGTGCTGGAAACTGAACCTTGGAGATTGGGGCTTGTGGTTCAAACCCTGAGGAGTGTGCATGTGACTGAGAGTGGGGGGAGCTCAGCGGGTGGAGCATCTTAAATTTAAGGTGCTGGCATGTGTGGATTTGGAGACACCAGCCCGGTCCTCGGGATCAGGGCTGAATTGGTCAAAGGCCTCTCTGTTCGGAGATTAGTTAGAGAAGGAACCTAGCTGATTGGGCTAGGTACTGGGCACAGCTGCCAATGCCAGCAGAGGAAGAGGGCCTTGGAGGGCAAGGGAAATGGAGAGCCAATAGGTGTGTGGAGACAGGAGAGCGATGCTGCATTTCAAAAGCTAAGGCTGGAGGATGAAGGGGGAGCATGGAGAAGGCTGGAAATGGACCAGGCTTGGGACCCAGAGCCTGCTAGTGTGCAGAGAAAGGGAAGTTGTACATTTTCTATGTGTTCATTGAAAAGAAAATGGCCTAGAAGTTCTCCAAAATCATGGCCAGAAATTATATTTTTCATTTGCCTCTATAATTTGGAATGCACTCATTTTCACATTTCACATTTCACTAGGATTGGGGTAAACACAGGGCAAGAAATTTTTGTCCTTGTGTCATACGTATTCATGCAAAGAAGCATAAGAAATCAAAGCACATGTGGTGGATCCAAAGCGCAGCCCCAGTTCCCATCTGCACTGTGGGAAGAGAGCAGTTCAGAAACCTCACCCACTCGCTCACCTTTTCAGCCTCTCCAGCACTGGTAGGAGCACAGTAGCTGGAAGAAGAGGAATCGTGGATTCTCGAATATTCCAATTCCAAGTTCAGATCCTTGGTTGCATCACATAAAGACTCAGTAAAAAATTGGCTGTCATCTTTTCTTTTCCAAGCAAAAGCCAGTGCTACAACACAGATCTGGAGGAGAAATGCCATAATACAGGTATCTGTTTGTGCCCCTCCCACACAGAGTCATCTTCCTGGTCTTGCACTGCAGCTGGCTCCATCTCCCAGTTCAAAACAACCACAAAAGATACTATCCTCAGGCCCCTGACACCTAGTCACCAGGTGTGGCCTCACTCAAGAGACTCAGGCCCTCTAAGGCTCAGATTCCTCAACTGAAAATAGAGGCCAAAGTGGTCCTTGTGGGATTTTCTTTTTTTTTTTTTTTTCTTTTTAATAAATGAGTCTCTGCCTAAGACTCCCCATTGCATCTGAGTGTCCCCAGGTAATGGGGGTGGCATGGGCTGGTGAACGGCATGCTTACTCATCCCCAATCCTCACCTCACCAGGGGTCGCGGGTTCGAGTCCCCGGCATCTGGCACTCAACGTGGGGGAGGGGGAGGAGGAGGAAGAAGAAAAGAAAGAAGAAGAAGACGAAGGAGGAGGAGGAGGAGGAGGAGGAGGAGGAAACACACCACCAAAACCCAGCCACTGTTTCCTCTCCTCCCAGGCCCCCAGTTGACAGGCACCTCCATCGGAGGAGGGTTTCTTACCATGAGTGGCTGGGTGACAAACACACAGCAGATTATGGAAAGGGCTAGAAGGTGCAGCCACCACATACACTGTGTTGGCACAAACCTGCAGAAGAGGGATGGATCGGTTACCACCTGCAAGAGAGTAAGCTGCCCATAGAAGATGGGAGCCACAGCCAGAGGGCAATGATGACCTCAACACTGGGAGACATGAGGTGAGGTTGAGGAGGGGCTGTGGGGCAGGCAGTGTGCCGGTCTGCCCATCAAAGTGGAGTCCTTTCCTACCGAGGAAGCTGCCCAGTGTCGAGAGAAAGGAAGCCCTGATATGAAGACAGTCCAGAATGCAGAGAAAGAGGCAGGGATCTGTATGGTGTGGGGGACACAAGGGCTCCAGGCTTCAACTGTGTCTCGGGATTAAGTGCTCCCAGTGTTCCAGTGCTCCTATTTCATAAATAAGCAAACTGAGGCAAGAAGATTCACGTGTCTGTCCTGTCCTCAGAGAGTAGTCAGGAATGCAGTGGGGAGAAGGGAGATTGTCGGAAAGATAGGGCCTTGGGCGGCAGCTCCCCCTCTGGGTTGAGGAACATGTGGTTCTCCAGTGTCTTGAATGACCCTGGGGTCTTCGGCAGTGCCCCAAGTCACAGGAGCCAGAAGCAGTGGCAACATGTGGGAGGAATAGGTTAGGATTCTATGATACACGAATCAAAGCTGGTCTCAAAGGCATCCATGTTCTCCAACAACACTGGACAACAAATGGCTGGCTCTGGCCAGCATCAGGGCTTGGCCTTCTATGAGCTAGGTGGAAGAGTCCTTTT